TAATTAGATGCTGAAAGGATGCTTAATCGATTTTAAAATAGTAAACTTTAGTTTTTTATATTAAGGTGTTTTGTCTAATATTGGGGGGAAGCTTCGAAATCCATTTTTTGTGTTTTTCATTAGATTTTGAATGGAAATTTAATCGACTTTGAAATAGAAAGAAAATGTTAGGCGGTATTATTAAGGTGTTTAATGTAATATCAAGGGAAAGCTTCGAAATCCCATTTCTGGCAATATTTTAATTATATAGATGTTTAAAGGATGTTTTATCGGTTTTGAAGTTTTTCCCGAATGCGTAGCAAGGGTTCCCGTTTCACTCTGGGGGTCTGGGGGTTGAGGGTGTGTTCGCTCGACGTTGCGTTCGCGAGCGCAACCGTCCGCAACCGTTCGCAACCGTTCGCAACCGTTCGCGTGAGGACCGTATGGCAGTGCCTATGGGAAGTTTTACAGAGGTGGTCCTTTTTGGAGGTTTCAGACGTCTGGCTGCTTCGTTTCGCGTGGCAGGTGTGGCACTTCGTGACATTCAGACGTGTTCTGCAACGTGTCGCAAGTCGTTTTGCGTGGCAGGCGCAATACTTTTGCAACGTTTTCAGAAGATCTGTTGCAGTTTTCGTGGCAGGCGCAGCACTTTGGACGCGTCCATCGTCATTTTTCGTGGCAGGCGCAGCACTTTAGACGCGTCCTGTGGCGTGTTTTTTTGTAAATCGCATTGGCAGGGCTGCGTCAAGTGGTGACAAGGTGCAGATTCCGTGGCAGGCGTGGCATTTTCTGACATGTGCTGAAAATTGACGGAAGTCTCGCACGAAACATTGATTTTGAGGTTGCAAATTTTCAGGTTCTAAGGAAAACTCGTAGGAAAACGTCGATTTTGAAGCTGCAAAGTGTGAAAAGTGGAGGAAGTCTCGCACGAAATGCTCGTTTTGGTGCTCCCACCTGTCTCTTCTCGCGTCTGGTTTTCCCGTGGCCTCGCCGTGTCTATGGGGGAAGCTGCAAAACTTGTCTTTTTATCTTGTCGGCAACTGTGAAAATTGCCGGAAGTCTCGCACAAAATGCTAGTTTTTCTGTATCCACGTGTCTTGTCTTGCGGCGCTTGTGTTTCTGTGGCGTCGCCGTGTCCATGGGGGAAGCTGGAAAACCTCTCCTTTTCGAATGTTTCCAAGCAGGTTGTCATGTTGTTTTGCGTGGCAGACGTGGCACTTTTTGACATTCCAACCTGTTTGATAATGTGTCGCAAATGACACAATTGGAGGAAGTCTCGCACGGAACGCTCTTTTTTCTGCATCCACGTGTCTTGTCTGTGTGTCTCGTTTTTCTGTGGCGTCGTTGTGTCTATGGGGGAAGCGGCAAAACACCTCCTTTTCGAATGTTTCCATGCAGGTTGTCATGTCGTTTTGCATGGCAGGCGTGGCACTTTGTGACATTCCAACCTGTTTGATAACGCGACGAAAATGTTAAAATTGGATGAAGTCTCGCATGAAATGTTCGTTTTTCTGCACTTACGAGTCTCGTTTCGAGTCTTTGGTTGTCCTGTGGCGTCGCCGTGTCTATGGGGGAAATTGCAAAATGTCTCCTTTGCCAAGGTTTCAAATTTTGAATATACTAGATTGTTGGTTCAGTGAGGCTTGCGGTTTGTAAATATATGGCAAGAGTGCGATTATGTTGAAGGTGGAAAGTTGCTGCGTGGACTCATCCAGATTTCACACAGTGTCGTTTATATATTTGTGGTTCTGTGTCGGCAAACATTTCGGCTGGGCCCGGGCTCAATAGCAAGAGAACGTTAAGCAGTCACAGTTCATGAGGAATGGTGTTTTTAGATATATTGCAAGATGGTGATTTTCGAGTGTTCGCGAGAGATATGCAAGCAAATGTCGCATGCACGGAAGTGGTGCTGATGCAGGCATGAAGGTTGATAGCGATGTTGTTGAAGATCTGTCTTTGTAGACACGTGACTGTTTTCAGACACGTGATGGATGTGTCTTTCTTTTTTCCCGAATGCGTAGCAAGGGTTCCGTTTCACTCTGGGGGTCTGGGGGTTGAGGGTGTGTTCGCTAGACGTTGCGTTCACGGTCGCAACCGTTCGCAACCGTTCGCGTGAGGACCGTATGGCCGTGCCTATGGTAAGTTCTGCAGAGGTGGTCATTATGGTCATTTTTGGAGGTTTCAGACGTCTCGTTGCTTCGTTTCGCGTGGCAGGCGTGGCACTTCGTGACATTCAGACGTGTTTTGTAACGTGTCGAAAGTCGTTTTGTGTGGCACGCGCAATACTTTTGCGACATTTTCAGAAGATGTGTTGCATTTTTCGTGGCAGGCGCAGCACATCGTCATTTTTCGTGGCAGGCGCAGCACTTTAGACGTTTCGTGTTGCGTGTTTTTTGTCAATCGCATTGGCAGGGCTGCGTCAAGTGGCGACAAGGTGCAAATTCCGTGGCAGGCGTGGCATTTTGTGCGAAGTGCTGAATGAAAATTGACGGAAGCCTCGCACGAAACATTGATTTTGAGGTTGCAAATTTTCAGGTTCTAAGGAAAACTCGTAGGAAAACGTCGATTTTGAAGCTACAAAGTGTGAAAATTGGAGGAAGTCTCGTACGAAATGCTTGTTTTTCTGCATCCACGTGTCTTGTCTCGAGTCGCTGGTTTTCCTGTGGCGTCGCCGTGTCTATGGGGGAAGCTGGAAAACCTCTCCTATTCGAATGTGTCAAGCAGGTAGTCATGTCGTTTTGCGTGGCAGGCGCGGCACTTTGTGACATTCCAAGCTGTTTGATAACGTGTTGAAAATGTCAAAATTGGAGGAAGTCTCGCACGAAATACTGGTTTTTCTGCGTCCACGTGTCTTGTCTCGAGTCGCTGGTTTTCCTGTGGCGTCGCCGTGTCTATGGGGGAAGCTGGAAAACATGTCCTATTCGAATGTGTCCAAGCAGGTTGTCATGTCGTTTTGCGTGGCAGGCGTGGCACTTTGTGACATTCCAACCTGTTTGATAACGTGTCGAAAATATCAAGCTTGGAGGAAGTCTCGAACGAAATGCTCGTTTTTTCGCACCCACGTGTCTCGTCTCGAGTCTCTGGTTTTCCAGTGGCGTCGCCGTGTCTATGGGGGAAGCTACGCGCTCCACACTCTACACTTTACACTCCACACTCCACAATTTACACTTTAGACTCCACACTCTACACTTTACACTCCACACTTTGCACTTTACATTCCTCACTCCTCACCTGAGACTTTACACTCCACACTCCACACTTTACACTACACTGTACACTTTCCACTCCTCACTCCTCACTCTACACTTTACACCCCGCACTCTACACTTTTCCACACTCCACACTTTACACTACACACTCCTTACTCTACACTCCACACTTTACATTTTACACTCCACACTCACACACTTTACACTCCGCACACACTCCACACTCTACACTCCACACTCCCCACTTTACACTCCACACTCCACACTCTACACTTTCCACTCCACACTCCGCACTCCACACTCCACACACACTTTACACTTTACACTCCGCACTCCACACTCCACACTCTACACTCCACACTCCCCACTTTACACTCCACACTCCACACTCTACACTTTCCACTCCACACTCCGCACTCCACACTCCACACTTTACACTTTACACTGCACACTCCACACTTTATGCTTTACACTCCTCACTCCACACTCCACACTTTACACTCCACACTCCACACTTTACACTTTACACTCCGCACTCCACACTCCACACTCTACACTCCACACTCCCCACTTTCACTCCACACTTACACTCTACACACTCCACACTCCACACTCTACACACCACACTCTACACTTTCCACTCCAGACTCCACACTCTACACTTTACGCTCCACACTCCACACCACTCCTTTACACTTTACACTCCACGCTTTCCACTTTACACTCCTCACTCCACACTTTACACTCCTCACTCCACACTTTACACTCCGCACTTCACACTCCACACTTTCCACTCAACACTCCACACTTTACACTCCACACTCCACACTTTACACTCCTCACTCCACACTTTACACTCCACACTTTACACTCCACACTTTACACTCCACACTTTACACCCCACACTCCACACTCTACACTTTACACTCAACGACTCTACACTATACACTCTACACTCCACACTTTACACTTTACACTCCACGCTTTCCACTTTACTCTCCTCACTCCACACTTTACACTCCACACTTTACACTCCACACTCCAGACTCTACACTTTTTACTCCATACTCCACACTCTACACTTTACACTCCGCATTCTACACTTTACACACTCTACACTTCCCACTCCACACTTTACACTCCACACTCCTTACTTCACACTCCACACTCCACACTCTGCACTTTCCACTCCACACTGCAGACTGGTAACAAGGGAAACATGTACAAGACTGTTCAAATAAACTATTGCAGAAAGGTATTGTGCGTGACTGCATATCCATGTGTTTTGACATCTGTACCATTAACATATGTGTGAGCATTCGGGTTCGTGGGCTTCATCTTGTTTTTAATATATATATATCTAATGTATTGTAGCGTCATGCTGCCAGAATTTACGTAAGGATTCAATCAATTCAAGCCACCAATATCTGATCCCACCATGTCCCTGCTGGTAGCATGGCGGGTTATGACACCATCAATAAACTCATATATATATATATATATATATCTTAATGTATTAATATATCAATATATCACATAAATATGAATCAGTCTGGTGGCATAAGCCCCTTAAATAACGGATATATATATATAATGCCCCTGGCACCCGAGGTCGACGCGTGCGGTTAGGGAAACCACGAAGGACGCAGGATTCACCTGGCGCGGCTGAGTTGACCAACGTGGGAATCTCATCATGAGAAGTTCGATAAACGAAATTCGAGGCTATAGATGCTTGTAGCATGTTGTAGCAACCCCAAATATTGCCAATATGCAAAATTAGCAAAATCCTCCTAAATTATGGTGGTATATATTTTAAAACATGTTTCTTCTTCTCTTTTTCGGGGCTCGGAGCAGCTCCACCAGCACCTCTTCATTGAAGGGAACATCTTCCATGGTGTTGCCATCGCAAATCCACCTTGGAAGCCCGCGAAAATTTCACGGCATTTATGGCAATTTATGGGGCCTTTATCATTGTATCCACCTCAGAGATGGTACCCTCTGGTAATTTAACATAGCTATGGAACATCACCATTTTTAATGGGAAAATCCACTATTTCTATGGCCATTTTCAATAGCTATGTTAGTTTACCAGATTCATCCCCATATACTGCACAGTGGTGGTATTTCCATGGATTTGCTCCAGATTTGCGTCAAACGAGTCGCCAACTTTTGACAAACGCACCAGAACTGGGAGGCCCAAATAATATGATTGTATATGTATCATATTATATATATATGTTAATATAATATAATATAATATAAAATAGAATAATATAAAATAGAATAATATAATATAATATAATACAATATAATATAATATGTGTATCTCTTACAATGGCCGGCCTCCCCACATGTCAAGGCCAAGATACGGTCCTTTCAGGTGCAACTGAAGTTTGAAGCGGTCATCCTGAACCAGAAGCAGCTCGTCGGCTCGTCGGCTTCACCAAAATCTGTTCATATTCTGTTCAAATTTCCAAGATCAACATATGGGGAGGTGAAGGCCAAGGAAATGCCTACCAAAAACATTAAAAACACATATCAATTGACTTTAAACTAATTACTGACAACGGGTTCGCAAATAATCATTATTGCAAATATGTTGGTTTGTCCGAACATGGCGCGTGAACATTGGAGACTTGCCCCATCTTGAGATACACCTATATATCAAGTAATTACCTGCCCGTAATCAAACTGGCTGGATGGAAAATCACCCTGTTTAGGATCTATATATATATATATTTACAGTAATCTTAAACATGGGAGATTTACATTGTGATGAAAACTAGGGTTCATTCAATTGGTTTGATTTCACAGGCTTTATGACTTTCTCTCAACATCTCTCAACACTATCAACATCATCTTTTTGTGAAATTAAGGCCATTTATATCCACTTATATCCACTCATCCACCAAATTCCAACACTCCTCAATTCTTTGGTGATCAAAATCGTCTCCAAGCTCCCCACACTCAACCTGTTTGCTCATCAAAAATCATCAAAAATCATCAAAATCCCCAAAGTTTTGGCCATGAAATCCCATTCACTGCCCATTTTTCATCCAGTTTTTCATGGCTAAAACCAACCCCTCCTGGCCCCTCCTGGCCCCACCTGGCATCCCACCTGGAGCTGAAGGGCCTCCGGCGCCGGCGAAGCGGTGTCGCTGAGAGCCAGGGCTCTGGCGATGATGCTGAGCCTGATTTGGCTATGGCAGGGTATGGGTAAAGGACGGGGAAAAAACAAATACATATACATATACATATATATATATACATATACATATACATATATACATATATATATATATATGCTGGTAATATGATGATAAATTGGATGGTAAATGGTAAATGATCGATATGCCTGTTAGTGGGGTTGGTAAATGGATGGTAAATCCATGATGGTCAATTTCTGATGGCTATAAGGATGTTCATCCCACGAAAATTGATAGTTTTTGACCCATCCCCAAAATGAATGTTGATGTGAATATTAAAAAAAACAACAACATATGTCATCCAAGTGAAGATGGTTGAAGGTTTGCTGATGTTTTTGTTGGGGATACAAATTCTATATATGAACGGAATTGGAATTCCAACCACTGGCCATCAACCAACTGGATTTTCCTCACCTTTGGCACAAAGCAAGTCACCACTTGGAGGGTATACAAACCGCTTTCAAACACATCCACATATATCCACATATCATAGATATCATAGTATTGCCAATTTGTTATGTCCCCAGTAAATATCAAACACTATTACGATGATCCCATTAAATCCAAAAACCCCAACTCCACCAACTGTGGAAGAATCCTGGTAATTCTGGTTCCAATGGAGTTTTTTTTGAGATGCTGACTCATTGGGCAGAAAGTGTTTCCTGACGAGTCAGCGCTGATAGGCTCGGGAAGCTGTGTAGAAAAGGTCACCTTTGCTATACAACCAACCAGCGTACTTCACGATTTTGTGGATGACTGGCGTCCCGATACTTTGACTTCGCAGGCTAAAAATGTTCAAAGGGCACGTTTTGATGATTTAATCACTGGTCATTTATCATCCACTATATGGGTATGGGTCAATACCTATAGATACATTTTTAGTGGGATGAACATCCATTTACCAGCTATTTTGGGGTTCACTAGGTACCAGGGTTTTGACCCATCCCCATATGGGTATAAATGGTAGTTTGAGCATGTGTAGTTTGCCTGTGTGATGGACAGGCCCAGGAAATCGCTCCCGCCTCTCACCGGTTTCTAACCTAACTTCAACACCATTTGGGTAGCCGCGGCAGCGCCTTAGCTTGTCAGCAACCATTTGAGAACGGCAAGAGGGGTCCGCCAAAAAATGCATCAACCATCCATCCAATTTTGTAGGTCGGTCATTGATCATTTAGCAGCTAACGTTGCAATCGATTCTCACTTGTCAAATATCCCCTACAACCTCGCAAAAATCTCGACCGCTGTCTGTGTTTTTCTCAGCCAACAATAGGGGTCCTTTACAACTTGGATTTTAATGGTGCTTTCATGGATTTTCATGGGATCATCTGATTATCGCCAAAAATTGGGGGTGAACCACAAATTATGATAACATCTCAGATGATGTTTCAACCCCATTTTAATCAGAAAGTCACGCCACGGGGGCCCCATGTTCCCACGTTTCTGGAAATACAGAAAACGTAAGATGAAACATTTGTGTGGATTGTTTTGCACGTCTTACAAAATATCACACCATAATATGATAGAACATAGCAAAATGTTTTTTAGATTAATTTATGTATTTCTCTAATTAAGTTTTTTTCCTTCTTTTCAATTTCTCTAATTTTTTATCATTGTTTGTCTATCTTTCACTTGTTTAAAAGGTTTGCTACTAAATTGGCACCAAATATTGTATATAATAGTTTCTCTCTGTAAACTGCTTAATCTTTCCAAAGGTCTATAGGGGGGGGGGCGGTCGATTTTGTTTTTCGTGTTTTTTTTCCGAGTCCCCCCCCTCCGACCCCGAAAGGCTGCTACTTCCGAGAGACCTGAAGACTTAGCTTTCTTTACGATCATCAATTTACTATTTGACCAGATTGACTGGCCAGAATCAATTCGGTTCATTCTAACCGGACGTTCTAACCGGACAGTTGGACTGACCGTCTTGCCGGACCATCTAGCCGGACGTCACTCCGGACAGTCTGGCTAAACGGTCTATGCACTGCTTAGTAAACGAAATCGCCATCATCAGTTAAAAAAATAGCATTAACAATGTTGCAAACTTCTTGCCCTTAAACTAAGGCTAACTACAACCCATCTCATCTTGGATGAGGCCTTTCCATCATGTGTTTATAACATGTTTTTCTTCAATGCATAGCAAGGACATGCTAAGTAACAAAAAGATCAAAAAGCATGACGCTAGGTCTCGGGTCCATGTTGTCCAACTACAAGGGTCATCACATGATATTCAAGAATGGCAAGAGAAGAAACAGTATGAAGAGCAATATATGTATATATATATATATATGTATGTATGTATATATATATATATATGCATGTATATACAATATATATGTATCATATTTTCACAATAACCATAATCTATTTAAAAGAATACTACATTCATCATGCCCAGAAAATAACATATTTTTATTTGGATAAGTGAACTTGAATAGCCATCTACAGTCGTCCTAGGGAAGTAAGGAGCTATCATATACTTTTCATCATTGGCTTGGCCAATATACTCTCATTGAGGTCTTTGGGTAGACGACCCCCACAGACTGGTCAGTTTAACCTTGATTTCAAATAGAGCCACCAATCGTGCTGCAACTTATCAATACAACAAACACAAGATGGCAACCCATGACACAGTGCAACGAGTACTTATATTGATTATTGCATGATGATTCAAACGATAGCTAGCTAGGGTCACCCTTGCTAGTATCTTAACCTGATAGTATCATTCAGAAAATGCGTAAAAACCCAGCATTTGTTCATTGGTAACAAGGTGATAAGTTTTTGCGATCGTCCCGTTTCACTGTTATGATAGAGCTGCTCCTTGCCATGGCTGTATGAATCCATATCCTAGGCGATATTTTCTGTTTTGATTACACTGTCCACAGGCTAACCAACTTGGTTGATCAGTGCATTCACATCATTCACTCAGATTTTGATTTCAGCATTCTCTTTCCATATTCTTTTTTCATGCTGGTGCAAAACATTTGCATCGCACAGCATGAGCATAACACAATACAACTCACTGCGCTGCAGGCTATTGCCAATGAGGGACATATGCAATTTGACAAACCATAATGATCTGTGTAATGCATATGTATGCTCTCTGCTGGTGCAGCTTGCTTGTGCAGCTTGGATGCGACACTATTGATAGGTTCACAGTTTGCTTGCATGGCTGGATTGCAAGAGAAAGATGTACATGGCAATGCCAAGTTCAGAATGACTCCACTGACAAGAGCACAAATGCATACAAATTGATTGCCACAGGTTTTTGCATCAGACTAAGTTTCTGAAATGGATGTGCTTGTGGTGGGTTGAAGGTGATCACTGCTACGTGCATGTAAGATTGATTTTGCCATGATGTTCTGTGATTGGGTACAAGTGATCTTACTTACATATTCCATGTGCACCAAAACGGTGGAAAACATGGGTTTGCACTGTGTATATTCGAGAAGAGTTATTTTCTCCATGCCTTTCCATGATCACTCTTAGTTTGTGATTGAATTAGCACTTGATTACAAGACTTGGTAGAACCATTGAAATTTGACCTCACATGTGTGCTATTCATTTGTGGCTCCTGTGATTCATGCCAACTATGTTGATTCACATTGGAGAATCCTGGGGCAAAACCTGAGTAATCTTGTGAGGTTTTTGACCTTTGATACAACTTTTGCAACTACAGCTGCTTGCGCCCCTTGCAATGTGACAAGGCTGTACTTCAATTTTTGCTTGTAGAAACCACCAAATCTAAGCAATAGAAATAACAGCTGTATGAAACATTGCTATGGTGATGTCAAAACGGGCACCTGTTTAACATATAGGTTCACATGTTAATTTCATTAATCATATCGAGACGCAAGGGTGTACTGTATATATATATTGTTGTTTATGGGGTCAACGCCCCGAGGCGGGCGTGGTTTTTTCCACGTTTGTGCTCTTTGGCAGTATACGTGTTTAACGGCCTTGCCGACTGTAAGATGACGCTACCGAAGACACGTTGCCCAACTTTGTTGCTGACGTCTTGCTACCTTGACCGGGAGGGGGGGTGGGGGGGGATGATAACGTTCCTTTCGACTGTAAGATGACGCTACCGAAGACACGTTGCCCAACTTTGTTGCTGACGTCTTGCTACCTTGACCGGGAGGGGGGGTGGGGAGGGTGGGGGGGGATGATAACGTTCCTTTCGACTGTAAGATGACGCTACCGAAGACACGTTGCCCAACTTTGCTAGGTTCATTTACAACATACATTTATCAAAACGCGTGCTTTTATATACATGTATGTTTACATGTTTATATATATATATGTGTGTGTGTAAAAGGTATTTAAAATATCTATGTATTCATGTCTCAAGCAGATGTTGCGGAATTGCAAAAGTTTTTTTTGGCATTTTGACATCTTGCAGCAAACGTCAAAACATCATAGATCACAAGCATAAAATACTGCAAATTACAGTGTAAAAAGGTGATTTTTGATTCAATCACCAAGTACACAATTGTAGAAAACCCACACCCGCCTCAAGGCGGTGTTCCCTTGTTTATAATCATATGAAGATACACATATTGATTTGTTGCTACTTGCCATCGGTCTACTTACAATATAATCTGCTTTGGTGAAAGAAGAAAACTATTTGGAACCGAGGATATGGGTCCTACCTCCACCCATTGCTTGTTTTTTTTTTAACTTTACAGAACCAAATTGAATACACAACAAATAGCAATGCAAGTAAAACAAGTAATACAGAAGATATTGAAGAATATCAAGAAGAAAAAGTATAAACAAACATAAACTATCAAAAAACATCACAAAACACTGTAAAACTGGGGCCCCCACAGCCCCAAACACTCTCAATTTTTTCTGAAAACTCCACCGGCCAAGCCCAACAAACACCTGGGCCATGGGCTCAGACCCCTGGGCTCCCCGAGCAATCCGGTGACCTCTCCTTCCATGCCACGGGCCAGGACGCGATCACCTTGGACTCATAGGTTTTCAAGATATATATGATATGCATCTATATATATATATATATCATATATGATGAATATATATATATATAGTATTATATATATATACATAATATATATATATATATCATATAATTACGATTATATGTACTGCATTGTACTGCAATGGGAATGTACTGATCAGTGATGTCCCTGAGTGTCAGGCCGATCGCGCAGTCTTCAGGCACCTCGACCTCCTCGGAGGAGGACATAGCATAGTGGGTTAAGACATATTAACACTAACCATAGTGGGTTAATAACCATAGTCATAGTTATGAAGAACCTATGGTTAGTGGGTTATAGCCTTGATTTATAGCCATTATGGTGATGAATGGCTATTTTTCATGGTTATTAATGGGATTATCATGGGATATATATATATAACATGATAGAGTAGTGGGTTCTTGAAATGGAATTTTACCCAAATTAGGTTCCAGCAGCCATTTGGGTGAATCAGCAGTGTAATTAACCAACCAAAATTCAGCGGTTTTCCGTTGGATTCTGTCGTGTCTGCTCTGAGGGGACTGGGCCATGGCTTGGTCAAGCAGTTTGGCCTTGTCCTGGAGATCGGAGCCGACAAAAGAACCGTCCTGAAATGGGTCTTCATATGGGATCTATTTGGTGAATGTATATATATATATAAACATACAATTATATATATATATAATGATATATACATACATAAAATGATATATATATATAATGATGTATGATATATATATATATATGACATATATATATATACATATGATATATATATATAATAATAATAATAATATATAATGATATATATATATAATGACATATATATATAATGATATATATATAATGATAAACATATGATGATATATATATATATTTACAATGATACATATATATATATATTGATATATTATATTTAATTATATATATAATGACATATAAATATAATGATATATATATATAATGATATATATATACAATGATACATATGTGTGTATATATCATGATGTATTATATTTGGTTGTATATATAATGACATATATATATAATGATATATATATAATGATACACATATAATATATATATAATGATACATATACATAATGAGATATATATATATATAATGATATATATATATAATGATATATATATATATAATGATATATATATATATAATGATATATATATATATAATGATATATATATAATGATATATATATATAATGATATATATAATGATATATATATATAATGATATATATATAATGATATATATAATGATATATATATAATGATATATATATATATATATAATGATATATATATAATGATATAAGTATAAATGTATATATTTATATAATGATATACATATCGAAATATGCCATATACTCATAATTCCCATGATATACCCAAATGGCAGCATATGTTGCTTTTCTATGGGCTATTATTGGTATATCATGGCTGTGTATATGTGGGGATACTGCGTACTAATAATCCCATCCCCCCGAATGTCATACTAATTCATACACCTCCATGGCCTATGGTCCCAGTCATACGTGGGTTTGTCTGAAACTGGCGATGTTGGGTATACAATGTTCAATATTTTTGCACTAAGAAAGTGCATTTATAGCCAGCCAAACTCCAAATTTTGATTACAAAACCGCGGCTGAGTCCCCCTGAAATCATATCTGACCAAATGGTGAACTTTTCAAATTTGTGCTGGGTGAAATCCACTTTTTTTGGTGGGTGAACTCCTATTTTTGGTGAAATAAAATGATTTTTGTTGACGACATCCCCAATGACGTCCTCTAAGACATCGGAAGCTTTGGGCGACCGGGGCCGCGAAGTGGCAGGCCCAGCCTGCGAAAGGACTGAAATAGTGGGTGATATTGAAATCATTGATATGTATTCAAGTTATCATGTTTATTAACTAATACCATAGGTTGCACAGCCAAATGGCATTTGAATAATTAATATTATATGCATAGTATTCAAATATAGTACATAACATTATAAAACGTTACAGTAGATGATAATACACCATTGTAGATCATTACATAACACTATTATATCAAATTACACATTTATATATAAGATTATACAACATTATAATATATTATATTACACCATATAACATCTTATAACAGAATCATATAACATAAAAACAAATACAGAACATTAAATCACATTAAACAAACATTATATAACATTACTTTTTTAAAAATTGCAATGTAACCTTATAAAATATATTATTAACACATTAAATAATATTAAATAAGATTATAAAACAAATTAAGGAATATTATATATTAAACATCAAAAGAACTATGTTGATGATTGAATGACTATGACAAAAGTAGGGGAACACATCTTCAAATGGTAGTGTCCACATTGATCATATGGTATCCTGTGGCTAGTTAATAGTGTTTGAAATTAAATAATTAACATAATAGTACACATCCCAGTATCTGGGTAAATTAAAATATTTCACTAACCTGAATTAAGGCCACTTGGGGATGATTTCCTTTATTAACCATGATTCCAGTGAGGTCGCAGTGAGGTCGTTATAATTTACCCAGCAGTATGTCATGGCAGTAGCAATATGTAATGATGATAAACATGATAACCGGGCTATCGCGGTGGTATGATGATATCTTGCTTTAAGTGAGCACATGAGACATCTTATATCCATCCAAAATAGGGTGTGGATATGTGTGAACGTCGTGGGATATATAAACTAATAGGTGCTATGATAAACAGAAACAATCATAAATATATGATAGTAATTGATAGTATGTGATGAAACAAAGAAATCATCACCAAACCGTAATGATACTTTGTTTTTTCTAATCTTCAAATCAGCTGGGCCTTGAAGGCACAGATCGACATGTTCCAAATGGTGAGGCCGATGGGGTTCTCCTGGCTGCGAAATCCCACCGAAATATGGAGCAGCCATGGAGGTTAGTATGGTTCGTATGGGAAAAAAACAAAGACATATGACATGAATGGAGGTTTTAATATATTGTTCTAATTTTAATATGCTTTTAATATCTGTTAATGGGAAAAACATCCGTAAACGGAGGGATTTGTTCAGCCCTGTTTGATTATCGGGGAACCATGATATTGGTTGGGACATGGTTTTGTGTAGCTCCTTGGCTCCCCATGGCTAGGAAATATATCCATGCCCCTGGCTCCGAACAGATCGGAGATGTTTCAGGTGGATCGCTGAAATTCTGCAGCCTTCGTGGAACCACGGTTAGTTAGGGTTAAATCCGCAAAGATCAAAGGTTGATATATGTTGATATGTTTCCAAAACCAGGGTAACCGGGTAGGTCCTCATTCCAATCGGGTGAGACTCGTTCTTTCGGACTATTCCAATCCGGCGCCTCGTTGCTTCTGACGCCATCGAAGAGGGTCAAGGGACTTGGAAAGTTGGAATTCCGGGAAGGCACCTCGGCAGCATCCCACAATATCCCACATCATTCCACCAGGCTGTCTATGAGGGGTATTCAATACCATTCGAATCATTAAAACCTAACTAATGATAGGTATTCAATGGTAAAAACCATGTAAAAACCATGGTATTAACCTAATTATGCATATTATGATCAATACCCAATTTCCTAATGGATATTCATGGTAGGCGGCGGAAGAGATTGATCACCGTTTGGATCGAAAATTCGGGCCCCTGACCACCGTGGTGAAGCCGAAGAGTTCTAGGCGTTCCTCGTCCTCCCACCACGCCATGGTGACTTGGGGACCCCCTACCTTTGGGGAAGATTTAGAATGGCGGATCCACTATCCGCAATTTGCGGTTTGTGAAATTGGGGTATATCTATCTGATGAATAGCCCTGAATAGCCCCCAAATTGTTGAGAGCTGGGGAGTATTCATTGTCTCTGATCCTACATAAATGGTTTTGACATGTTGTGACAATCATTAGACAATACAAGGACAAGCAACTCAGCACTTTTCAAAGCTATCCCCGGCCAGCGCACTTCATTGTGGTCGCAGAAACACACGGTCACCAGGCCTCGTAAATGTCTGTCATCGTGCGCTCCGTGATGACCAGCAAGGCATCATCTTGCAGCTCGGCGATCCTGGGACAAATGAAAGGATTTGTGAAGAGCTGCTTGAGCAAGGTGGTGTCAATCCATTCCCACTCAAGAAATGCAGACGTGTGTATGTATATACAAGTATATATGTACATATTATATGACCATTGTTTTGAAGGTTTGATCCACAAAATGGATAACCATCCGAAGGAGGGGTCATTTGTGTAATCAAAAGATGGTGTAGAAAATAATTGGTCGTGGGGAGCGTGATCAGCTCTGGAGAAATATCTCATACCACATCAAAAGACATCCACCTAGAGTAATTCTCAACCCTTGGGACTATACTCTATAGATGGGATCGGAACTCCTTCACCCTGTCAGCTCTTTCTTCCATGAGTGGCCTAGGATATCATCCATGGTGAGATTGGGATCTCGCATCCTCTTCCACAGGGCCTCCCTTTGCAGCTTCATCTGCCGCTTGCGAATCCTCTCCCGCTGGAGCCGTCGCTTCTGTTCAATCTCTTCTTTGCTCTGCCTCTCGCGGTCCAAGAAACCTTGCCACCACCGCAGGGTCGTCAAAGCGATCCAGTCCTTCACTGGGTCACCAGATCTTTTGAACTTTGTGTGGACTTGTCTCTCCGTTGTGACTGGTGCCTGCAGTCCTCGGCACCCATATGTCCAAGTTCCCACAGTTGCAAGTGTCGCTGGCGCATCTTTTCGGTGGCACCAAGTACGGAGTTTTCGGAGCTGGGTCTCACTGCAAGCGCCCGGCGGCACATTTCAGTCGCACGTTGCAACTGTTCCCAAAGATCTCGTCCGCCGGAGTAAAATACCAAAACATATTTCATCAGATTTCTCTTCCGCCAGTATTTACAAAATCCGCGCAAGGGGTCCATGCAACAGCGCAGCTTTTGCAACTTGTTCAAGCACTTGACAGCGGGAGATCGCATCTTTTTGAATCCAATTAAAAATCCAAAAATCCAGCGTGCTGATTCAAGTAAAAACTCAGACTCAACTCCTCCACGGTCATCTCCTGCTCTGTTGCAGATGACCTGAGTGCTTTCTCCATCCGTTCTTCAAAAGTGCCTTCGAGATTGCTGCGATCAAGCATCTTCTGTTTGGTGGACGTGAGAATGACAAGGAAGTCAAGACTTGTTGGCAAATCACAGTATTTGGTATATAGATACCATGAAAGAAAACCACGGCCCGATAACATTTGCCGGAGCCAGCGGGAGAAATTCCTTTGATAGCGGCGCCTGTCCTGCGCACGGAGCTACCCTTGGCAAATGGCGTCGACTGAGCGGAAGGAACGGAAGTTGGTGGTCAAAGCTAAGGTGGATTAAGGTGGTGCAACTTCCTGAAGCTGCGTTCCCTGAAGGCCCTGAAGCTTCCGGCTTCGGTGGATTTGGTTCTGGGTGATGGGTTTCTTTGGATTCCACGATTCCACGATTCCACGATCCACTGTTCCAACAAGACGCGCTGCTGCGAGAATTCCTGGATGGCTTCAAGGCGCAATTGGCGCAGGAGTTGTTTCAACAAACTCTGAATTTTCTCCTTGGCCTTTTCGGAGCCCTTCAGATGTGCCACCCTTGTCGGGATGCACCTGCAAGGCACGACGCTTGAAGGCCTGCTTGATCTCATCCAACGTCGCGTTTCGGTCCACTTGCAACACCTCATAGAAGTTCTGGACCATCAAGATCTGTGGAAACAACAAGTTTCTGGACAGAATCCCGAAGGCTTACAGTAGAAGATGTTCAATGATGTTCAATGATTTCCTGGAATTAGTGCTGTCCTTTTTCAATGTCTTTGTATAATAGTGTCTTCCTACTTGCAGTTGGTAAGGTCTTCCATTCACACGATCATTGCACTCCATTCACAAGGTTCTTTTGATGCAACAAAACTGCTTCCCTTGTAGCCTTGACAATGTTCATATAGGATCATATCCCACTATTATCCCACATAAATCACCCCCAAATAGCTATCATCCCTGTTACCATCCCACTATAATCGACTATAGATATATCTTCAGGTGCAGTGTCAGCTCCAGCATAACACTGGAGCCAGAGCTCCTGACATCGTCCTGAATCGATTTTTGTTGCCGTGCAAATCATTTCAGTCCGTATATCTAGATTCTAGATATATAATGATATATATATATATAGTTGTATACACATAACAATTATCATATGCATAAACACCATTTGAACATATATTTGAACACATATATTCTAATATGCAAAACATTAGTCCACGTAGCGAAAAGGAAAATCCACGGATGTTTCAATGGGTCAATCATCGAAGTAAGTTTGGGCCATACCATAGCATACGATGGCTATGTTCGATTGTTGTTGGATTACCCTCTGGTAAACTAACATAACTATGGAAAATCACCATTTTCAATGGGTAAATCCACTATTTCTATGGCCATTTTCAATAGCAAACTGATAGTTTACCAGAGGGTAAAGCTGATTCAAATATGACGAAATTCACCAACCCAAACCGTTCGAGCTCTTGGGGATAGTTGCCCCTAGAGAACCACCACTGAACTCGTGACGTTGGGGTGAAGTGACGTCATGGGCCCCCACCACGGCCTCAAATGGCCAATTTTTTATGAGAAAACATGATTTACCTGTGGATGAAATGGGGGTGTCTCTATTTTCAATCCCATATAAATCATAGTCATCACAGTTGCTTAGCTATGTAAGTTACATCCAATTACAGTATCTCCTATGATATCCCACTATAATATCCCCTTATCAATCGGCCGATGAAATGCTTCCTGGGAATCCGCAATCCATCCACCAAGAATTTGAATCCCCATGATCTTCCCATCATTAATCACCTTTTGAATGACCATAAATCACCTTTTGAATCACCGAATTCAAATCCCGCCTTTTCATGGCCGCTTCCCAAAGATCTTCAGGATCTCCAAGGGGCAATCGCGCCAGGGCCTCGGTTAAATCTCTACAAAAACCATGGGTTTTGACCGGTTTTTACCATCAAATATAGACCTTTCCGTGGTAAATTTGCAAACATCCTCTGTGAATTCTGTGAATACTATATTCTTTTACTAGCAGATTTGTTCGATGATTTTGGGGTCAGACTTTTTCGATGATTTTGGGGATTGCTATGACTCAATTGACTTTTAATATGCTTTACTAACAGGGTTCATTACAATAACATATTGTAGCTATGTATGTATGTATATATATTATATATATACATGCTGCATTGTTACTACAAGAACTTTGGAGTCCATTCATTTCCAAAGTTCATCAGATCGCAAACCAGGGCAAATAAACTGAATCAAAACTTGTTGGAATCACAAACTATATTCATTGGTGACTTCAGTGACTCTCATGGATCTGCAAAAGATAAATCTGAACAGAACGCCCTCGGTAAACTAAGAAAACGATATGACATGATATGACGATATGATAAATCCATGGTTTTCCTACAACCTGATCTATCAATTGTGGATGTTCCATATCTATGGTAATTTCCCGCTTACGATGCCCTGACACCCGGTGCTGGGTGCACAGACCGGGCTGTATGCAATGCGCAGGAATGGGGGGCTACTGCCGGATCGAATCTCCTGTCCAAAACTATCCAGGATGCCCGATTTGAATGGGAAAAACATGGAAAAACCCAGCATTTTTCATGAGGGTTTCCAAAAAAGGTCCTTTTTTAAAAACCACAACACTGGATATAAAAGGCCTTTCCGGCCATCTCTTTTGGTGGATTACTGGAACTCCACAGTCCAAGAGGTTGCCTCAAGTGGGATCTAAGTTGTCTAAGGCAATAGCAACTATAGATACATAGATACTATAGTCAAGTGTGGGGTCTTCACAAAATGAGAAGTCCCTCCTGAGATACACCAAAAATAAAACACTATATAATTGAGACAAGAAGGATCAGTTGGGTGCCCAACTATTGAGAAGACCAAAACAGGGTCCTCCCTACAGCGACCAAGCCCTGTAGTGGATGCCCTTGCCAATCCGAGCAACCTGAATTATCTGAATTGAAACTGAACAGCCCTTCTCAACACACTTGTGCTGTATATATATAATATATTATAATATATATCACCCATCTCCAAAATGAAGGCGCTCAGCCAAGTCATCAGCTCAATTTCTACCATCCTCCTCCACGAAATCCAACAGTGATGTCCTTGGCTTAACAGTTGGGAGTCGAAAGTGGCGGTGTTTTTTTACGTCACTTGGGGACCATCATCTCCCAACAAATGCAATGGAAAAGATATGAAAAGATGGTGACTCCCCAAATATCTTTTTCAGGCAAAGGTCATTTTCTTCAACTTACTGCTATTTCAGATTGGGATCTAGAACACGAAATTCTGCATCATTTTTGGGGGTGGTGTTGTACTTACACTATTCCAACGAAGCTGATAATTACTTCCAACGTGCAGGCGTCACGCCACGGAAACTGGTGAAATGGCAGTCAACCACTGGATGAAACAGTAAAATCCCACCAGAATCGTGGTAAATTGAACCTGTTCTATCTCTTTTGGGGTTATACAACATGAAACTATTCACACAAATCTCACCGAACGGAAATTTATACTTTCACCATTTTCACCTTACCATACAAAAATAACATCAACTTCATACTAGTCTGACAATTCTATCTTAGGTTCCATCCGCAGATCTCAACTTTCCAGACAAAGCAAGATTGATGTCCCCCATTTAGTTCGATGATTTTCCCAGCGACAGAAACCTCCATGGCTAGTTCGGGGATTCTCCAGCCAGCCATGGAGCTGACACCGGGGTACGGATATAATCGCATGTTCCCTAAATGACCTACAATTTCCCATTGATGTTTCCCATTGATGTTCCCCATTGATGTTTCCCCAGATTTGTTCCATCCCCTAACTCTCAGAAGACACCTGAGGGCAGTGCTCGTGCACCACCAAAGTCATTTGCCGGCCGAGCAAGGTGCACCTCTCCAAGATAAGGTGCAGAGTTTTTAAGCTGAACATATGGGATTTTAATGCGGAGATATCCAACAAGATGAGGATAAAATGGGGATACTAGAGGGATATAACATACAGTACTGACTAGAATATGATAGTTGGATATATTTGGATGTGTCTGAAAATGGATTGTGTACCCCCAAAATGGCTATTCTAATGCGGATAAAGATGATGAACGAGTGGGTGGAATGAGCTACCCTATTTCTAGACAACCCCAAATTCTGACTTTGACGTCACCTGCAACACTTCGGAACAGTAGTGACCATTGTGTAAATTAACAAATTTGCTATTAAATTGATGATATGTATATACAGTAGCCACAAACATGGAAGATAAGAAGCAACATTCATAGTTAAATACTGGAGGAACATAAGAGGGAAGTGGAAGCAAGTCATGGGGAAGAAAAAAATACTGCAAGTGCCCAGGCCACTGAAAGGAGCAATAATGTCAGTGAGATAGTTTGCCTGTGAGATAATTCTTCATCTTGCGTCAGGAAAGAAGTCGTCCCCGATAAGAAACAAGCATACCATATCATATATAAGGTGCAAATGTGTATATTACATATTACGTATAGACAATATACATTAATATACCGTAGATGCCGTAGATGACCGCCCGCGATATCTGACAGCCGAACCCAGTGGGCACCTCTCACAAAGGTCTAGCTTGCAGCTTGTTTCCGCATTACCATGCCGGACCTGTGCTCAGCGAGATATGTTAATCATGTTTAAAGTTTCCCACAACAGTTCCAGAATAGCAGTGTTCAATACCCCATCTCTTTATACGGGTTGGTTGAGATCTGGACTGTCCACAACTGTTCAGTCAGTCCGCCCCAAATAAACGTAAACCAGATAGATCCGGATAGTCCAATCCCTTCAAACCAATCAACTTAGCAAGGATTTTGGTCACTGCTCAAGCCAGCTGCCAGCTACTTTTTTGCTGCTGAAAAAGTCCTACGAAAAGGTGGATATATGGCTTGAAAAAATTAAATGTTGACCATTGTTGACCCCTCATATTAGATGATTGAATATCAAACTGATTGGTCATCGCACCAAAAATGGGCTAATGATTGGGTTAATATAAATTAAACTGATTAATCATGATGAACCCCTCAATGGTGAATATTAGATTTGTGGTTTCAATCCATTCCAAAAATCGTTGCCATGGTCATCCACCTCTGTGCTCACGAAGTGAACTTCGATGGATTTCAACTGCGGGGCTCGGTGCAGCCACTCCTGAAGGCCATGGGGAGGGACTTTAAATGGAGATCTGAAGGACAAAAATAAACGAAACATAATACAAACCTAATTAACATCAGTATCATTCAGTATCTGGTTGAATTATGATAATTATGAATTTTATACTGAGTTTTTCATTCACTCTGAGAATAGCTGAAACGTTGCGGCCAATCACCATCTTTCCGTAGTGACGTCACATTGAGGTCACTCATCTCAATCTCGGGAATCGGGATTTCGGCAGCAGAAATTGGCAGTGACCGTTGGAAAATCAAGCGCAAACGTTGGAAGGACTTGATAGTGTGAAAAAAACCATATATGAACTGTAGCAATAATTATAATCAATTATATCTATTATATTCTGATATATTCTGTTTCTTAATTGTGTACAAGCATGTGACCTTTAGACAACACTTCGGGATACAACCAACGAACCAACAATCGGTGGATGAGACCAAACGCAGCATCCAATGTCATCAACAGTGAGAGGACCAGCCTCCGGTCTAAAATAGCCATGGAAAGTGGTCCTTTTATACTTGACCACGAAAAAAAGATGTTGATTGTCCATAGCTATGGCAGCTATGTTAAGTTGCCGGGCAAAACGAACAGTGAGAGGACTATTGTGATGTCATGTGATGTCTTGATTCAGTCGCGATCTACATGTAATTTGGGTGTCCCTCCGAACCAGTCTCCTGGAAAGCAGGTTTTATTTCCATGGCACCCGAAAAGATCTGTACATCCCAAAGCATCATGATTTCTGGGGGCCAAGTTGCCAAGGACCTGTCCCTTTCTGGGGGGTCCACGGGTCCTTTCTGGGGCTTCCACTTCCACATGGCCCAACCCTTTCTAGGCGCCTCGTACTTGTTCATATCTGCCATGGCGCAGCCATAGGCATTGAGGATATGAATCTGGCGGCAGTAAGCCATGGCTGCTTAGGCTAGAGCTTACCTGGAGGATCACCATGGGATAGCCATGGGATAATCAGCCAGCAGCCATCACCATGTTATAAGCCATGGGAGAACCATGGGAGAACCATGGGAGAATCCCAACGATGATCCCGATGATCCCGATGGCCGCACCTTGATATGTGGCTGATCCCAAGGGTGATTGGCAAATCGACAGGCCTGGCCGCTTGGGGGTTGCCGGAAATCATTGCCTGTTAAAAAAATATCAAGTAGAAAACTTAGACAACCATCATCTTAGGTAGTCAGGTAGGATGGGAAACAAAGAATCGCTGAAAAGCATGAAGCAAACAGAGTGATCAGTCAATGCATCAGCTGGCACTTCAACATGAATCAATCTAGCAGGTCAATTCCTGAAACATCCGGAGCATGGCAGCAACTGCCATGCCTGAGACTAATTCCGCTCCAGACAACTTGAGACAATTTGATCATCCAAGCTACCGGCTACAAGATACCCTTTCTGGGAATTTTTCCAGTCAGCTCCGAAAATCTTTCCAGAACGGGGCTCCCATTACCAGCTCCCCAGCTCCCCAGCTCCCCATGACCATCCCGCCAGGTTGCCACCTCTACCACTGACATTGGAAAGGACAGGCTATCAATGATGATCTGACGCGGCGCCGTGCCCCCATACCGTTGGGATATAACCCCTATGATTAATGTGGGTAAAACAATGCCATAAACCACCCATTTGGGCATGGTAACCATACCACCTATAAAAATGGTGATTTGGGGAATGGTTTATGGCATTGTTTTACCCACATTATGTCCTTATACATCTTTCTGCACTCGTCCAAGCTGCCCTCCCTTGAGGAGCCTTGAGATATGAAAATCAGCCACACGTCTGCAGCAGTAGAGGCATGGCTTAGCCATAGCCCCCACTTAGCAGCAAGATGCTATGTCTCATGGTCAGAAGTTGGAGTGTATAATGGTCATAATCGTTAAGAATTAATGCTTATTATATAGCCAATAATGGTTGGATGACCATAACCCATTTAATGCATTTAACTTGACCACTGCACATGTGGTAGACCGTAGCACACTTCAACGCCTGCTGTGCCATACAGGGCAATGTGCGAAACTCTTCGCCGCTCATGCCTGGCGGTCTGTGTTCAGTATTCACATATCGAAATGAATTGTTCTTTATATGATTTATATGCTCTTTACACTTAAGAACCACTACTGCTTATGACTGCCTCTCGTTTCAAAATTGCAAATTGCATAAAGGCATCTAATTTCCAAATGTCCAGGTCCAAGGACACGAAACCCTTCAAAAGGAAACAACAAATATGTTTAAAAAACAGCCCGTGGCCTCTGGCATCATCAACCAGCCCCAAATGGGTTTGCCTGAAAATAAGGTAGTACCTATAAATCCAGTGGATGAGCATCATTTTCCCTATTAACTATTTTTTTTTCCCGTTTGAATCCATGTCAGGGGTATAGAACTCATTTCAGAGACAACTTCTAACTCAATTGCCCAGGCTCTCAGCCCGGCAATACGGTGCGCGCCTCTCAGCCCGCTGTAGTCCACAAAGTCCTGAGGTCTATCTTGCAGGATCATCGCTATTCAACCAGGTCAGATGATGTTTCAACCCCCAACGAACAGAAATCAAACAGAGATGGGATGGCTGTGGAGGACAGGCACGCTGGTGGTTGAGCCGACTAGCTCAACATAGTCACTAAGAAGGCAAAGGATCAAGATCTACTTACAGTATGTTTCTGGAATCAGAACATATGCGAACCTTTTTGGTTGGATCACCAAACAGAAAATGATGCCGGTATTTAATGTATCCATCCATATCCCATTCCAAAAACCATGCATCCGATGCACCTCATGCCGTCCATTTTCAGTGACAGACATGTGCTCGTGCCATCATTGGTCTCCCAGAATACAAACCAAACACAATCAAAGATGCATATATTTATGTATAATAATATCTGTGAATCTATAATGGATAGATAATATCTACATATATCTACATTACCTATGATGATATATCATAATATCTATACTACCTATGCAGCAAAAGTTTCAAACATCCAATAGTTGTTGTATCTGAAAAGCAGAAATCAAGGCCCTCCAGCATCGCAACATTTTTCGAAGCGCCTCAACGCTAAAAAACTGGTCGGCCTTGGAGCTTTGCCGTGGCCTTAATACCTTGACCAGTCAATATCGGCAGCAATGGGACGATTCTTTTTCTCCTTTGAGGGAATACCAGTGCCTTTCTGCACCAAAATGCTGTATTTCCGGCCATTCTTGTTAGGATCCGATCCATCACTACTTGAAAAGATCACTGCTGGAGCATCTAACGCGGTCTCCAGCCAAAACACCTCGCGAAAATGGCGTCCGGGGTGGTTGCAGGTGAGCCCATCCGCGCCAAAGCGGCCTTGCCATTCACGGCTGGGATTTGCTGCATTGTAATCTTCCTCCGCAAACTCCTTGAAGAGGGATGTCAACTTCCTCGAGCTGGAGATGATTTGGGGAGTAGCCTCTAGTCATCTCTAGTCCACGTACTGTTGCAGAACTGGAAATCCGCGGTTTTACATTGGAATCTACAAATGGTGGAATTTTCTAGAACATTCTAGAACTATGTTAGTTTACTGGAGGAGAGTGGACAAGATCCTTTTAGTCCAAATTTTGAATCGCTAGCTTTTGACTGACGGACCACACAGGGTTGACATCAAAAATGCGAAACAGGTTGAACAAGTGGGTCTCCTATTCATGCGCGGCAGGGACAAATTGACAAACAATCACTCCAAACTTCTAGACTCAGGTGCCCCCAAAGGCAGTTAGTTGATAGGAACAAAACACATCATCCAAGTAAATCGTAAAACTAATCCCATTTCAAAATCAAACAATTTTCTGCCCGGCCAGCAGAAATGGACAATTATGCAGTCCTCTTGCCCTCGGCGTCCACCGGAATGCCAGTGTCCAGACCAAAGCCATAGAACCTCAGGACATGCCAGGCCTATTCATCGATAAACCCTGCGACCCTGCACCTGCTCACATCATGCAACACAACCTTACAACGGAATCAAACGGATATGAATGAACTACAGTAAAGCCATGTAAACCCTACGCATATGGCAAAATCTTCGGCAGCATCCATCCCTTTTGCTGTGTTGAGTTGCTGTTTGGTTTCTATGTTGTTCAGTTACATAAACAATAATACCCCCCATCGGCTTGCCGGTGAACATCCCATACCCGGTTCATGCCATGAATTTATCCAGGTTGATGATGACTTGGGGGTTTGGTGAAATCCCCGTTCCCCATATTAGTGTTGTACACAAACATCCCACCAAAAAAAAACACACTACCATCTGGTTATGACTAACATAGCCATGGAAAGATCCACCAATTTTTAATAGGTACAGTAAACCATCTATAAATGAATCATTGCCCATGGCTATGTTAAATAACCAGATGATAGATCCCCAGATTTTGCCGGTGATTCCCCAACCAACTGCGGCCCCGAAAATTTCCCCAGTGACACTCCATCCTCCAGCACATCCACACGCAGGGATGACATCTCTTCAGCCTTCACGGGGAGATCTGCGATGTAGCACTTGGTCCTACCTTGGAAGGTCAAAATGCCGGGGAGAGTGTGAAACTGATGGTGCTATGATGATGGATGATCTCGTGGAATTTTCATGGGTGATTGCAATTATTATAAAATTAATGGGATGCTGTATATCACTGGGATATCACTGGGATAATACTAAGTCAGGCAACCATAGTGGATGGATGTTCATGAGATTTTGATAGGATATCACTGGGATATTAAAGGGTTATAAGTAACCAACTATAAGCTAGATGTGGAGGAAAACCTAAGTATATGCAAACTGGGGACATGGTGGACTCTGGTGCACAATCTTTTATGTGATTTATGTGGGCATGGACGTCTTTCCACGTTCACTAAACCACACATGACGGGTGATACAACGGATTACTAATGGGAGATTATAATTTTATCTCATTTGCAGGGTGGGGAATTACAAATCTAGCGGGATACAGATGGAGATTTACAACCATTTGACGGGGACAAAAAGAGTGCCAGAGTAAGGATGTGTGCAAGAGAACTCATATTTCTACTCTGAAGACAACCTGAGATGCAAAGGTCTCAAACATACTGCCTTGATCTGTGTTATACTTCGGAAAATTTAAAGGCTTACGCCTGACAGCCGGGCGCCGGCCAAGCAACGATTTTTGGCTTATGGTGTGGGAAGATTGGGCCGACTTATGTTGGGCCAAGTCGGGCCCATGTTGAGCCATCGGGCCCATCTTGGGCCTATATTGGCCCAGGTTGGGCCTATGTTGGGCTATGTTGGGCGCATCTTGGGCCCATGTTGGGCCTATGTTCGGCCCATGTTGGCCTATGTTGGCCCTATGTGGCCCCATGTTGAGCCATCTTGGGAGCTATGTTGGGGCCATGTTTGGGCCATCTATGTTGAAACGATCTTAAGATGCAATTTTTTCCTTCCCGGGCCCCTCCTCGAGCCCAAAACCACGTAGAAAAACAAATAAAATCCGTGGCCACCGAAAGGCCCGAAACACCGTAGAAAAAAAACGTTTTTTTTTTTTCACCCGCAAGCAAAAAACATCCTAAATTACAGGTCCTTCAGTCGGGCGGGGGCGGGTCGGCGGCAGGGCCGGCAGCGCCTATAACCTTCGGTTACCACCGAAGGCCTCCGGCAAGGACACGGGCTCCGTGGCCGGCGCCCGGATTACATCTTTCCACCACAATCAGAGAAGCCATCGCATCCCCAAGTCCACTGCTCGTCTGGGATTCTCAGTTCACCATAGAGCCTGGGTCAATCCATGTATAGGTTATAACATGTTATAATATGCTATAATCCCATATAATCATCAACCAACAGGGGTTTTGAACACATTTGAAGCAGTGTTCAGTTCACAATTGTCATGTTTGAATCACCACCGAGTCGCCATGGTTTCACCAAGACACGAGGATAGTCCAGTTGAAAAAAAGGTCCGTCCAGCAGAACCATCCGGCTCTGATTCAGCAACTCCTGGAATAGAACCACTTTCTGGAAACCTGAACTGTCCATCTTCATGGAATATTCATAGGATACCGATATCAGATACTATCAATGGGATACCAATGGGATCTTATTGGAATCTCAATGGAATAATGATGGTTTGTGGTCGTCCCTGCACTATTGGGAATCCTTGTGTTGGCATTGGCCATCATCGGGTATGAACATCTCTCGTGCTCATGTTCAATCCAACTTGTCCCCATGGCATATGAAATCTGGAAGGTATATGAAAAAATCAAGCAGCAATATGATTCCATTCATTTCTAAAAGACTTGATCATAATTTGGGGGTCCTCCCCTGATTCATGGAGCTCAAAATGATCAAACTCGAAAACTTGGAAAACTCATAGTTCCAAAAAGATAGAGACGGATGTTGCTTTCCTATTTTGCTTTAGGGCTGTAAACTCGCCATGGCTTCCATCGTTCCATCTGTGATTTTTCACTTGGCCGATGGGCACCCGTAGCTTCGGAACCGCCGAACCGCCCCCAAAAAAAGAGACTAACTTGTGCCCTATAGATTCCCAAAATGGTGTAAGTGTATTTCCCATTGGGAAAGTAAAACAAATCTGCTAAGCAAAGCCATCGCTAGATCAAATTCCCAAAAGATACCCTTTTTGTTGACTCCGGCAGGCTCCTCATGCCACTCCTTCAACAACTTGCTGCGCTTCTCCAACTGGGTCAAAATGGTTGCAGGGGAAAATGCATTGGCCTACCATGGTGATTTTTTGGGGCTTACGCAACTTGAAATTCTGAACATTCATGATTTTATTGATTTTTGGTTTTAACATGTTTTAACCAATTTCAAACTGAGGAAATGGTGGCTTCACTTGTTTTTTTGGGGCTTCGCCTGCCTAAAAAATTGGAGACTTAATGATCTTAATGATTGAACCAACAATGTAGATTTACTGATCTAATCTGCATATTTGACCAGGGTTTGTCCCGAAACAGAAGTGGATTTCACCAACACCAACATGATGCAATATGGTTTGTCAGAAAAGACACCCAAATACCCGTCTCAATCAGGACACATGATGAACAAAGAATGCTGGATTTTGAGATATGTTGGGGGCACACCAGTTTTTGACGGTTTGATTTTAAAAAAAAACTTTACTTCGTGTGATTCCCACCATGACATTTATACATTTTCTTACTGGCAAATCTTCTGGCATTCTATCTGACATATCTTCTGGCATTCTATTTGGCATTCTATCTGGCATATCTTCTGGCATATCTTCTGGCATATCTTCTGGCATTCTATCTGGCAAATCTTCTGGCATTCTATCTGGCATATCTTCTGGCATTCTATCTGGCATATCTTCTGGCATTCTATCTGGCATTCTATCTGGCATATCTTCTGGCATATATTCTGACATATCTTCTGGCATTCTATCTATCTTCTGGCATATCTTCTGGCATATCTTCTGACATATCTTTCTGGCATATCATATTTTCTGGCATTCTATCTGGCAAATCTTCTGGCGTTCTATCTGGCATATCTTCTGGCATATTATCTGGCATTCTATCTGGCATATCTTCTGGCATTCTATCTGACATATCTTCTGGCATTCTATCTGGCATATCTTCTGGCATATATTCTAACATATCTATCCCCATTGACTTTGGTGGGGGTCACTCAAGTGACCCCATTCTTTAGACAGAAAATCTCTGACCCAGTCAAAAGCCTAGAAAATGAAAAGACCAAGTAAAATTGGACAATTTTTTTGATTGGGCAATTCATTTTCTAGAGGGATGTATGGATGTTTTGGACATGTATGTTTTTAAACACACAGGTACATGAGAGTACAATTCACCACTTTGGGTCTAGAAAATGACTTGTAATGCCATCATAAGAACAATAAAAAATGTTCCCCTAAAAAAATGGTTTCAAAAATGGAGGACCAGAAATGAACAATGTTTTCTCTAGAAAATGAATTGTGCAATCCTTACTAAGACAGGTAATCCATATTCCCCAGGAATCACCAAAAAACAGTCATTTAACCCAAATTTAGTGCCAAAAATTTAATCCAAAAAATCAGCCTGCAATCCAGCGCCAACAAAGCGAGTGATTTTTTTTCTCTCCCAAAATTGTCCAAGATTGGTTGATCAAGATTGATCAAGGTCTCTACGTTTGTCAAGTCCATGAAGAACTTGAATTTCAACGAATGATTTGGGCTGACCACATATTTATCCCTATTGGCATTTCAGGGTGAACTCAAGTGACCCTCATTTTCTCGCCAGAAAAATTCTGACCCAATCAAAAGCCTAGAAAATGAAAAAAACAGGTAAAATTGGACGTTTTATTTGATTGGACTATTCATTTTCTACAGGGGTGCATGGATGTTTTGGACATGCATTTTTTAAACAAACAGATGCATGAGAGTACAATTCACCACTTTGGGTCTAGAAAATGACCTGTAATGCCATCATAAGAACAAAAAAATGTTCCCTAAAAAAATGGTTTCAAAAATGGAGGACCAAAAATGAACAATGCTTTCTTTAGAAAATGAATTGTGCAATCCTTGCCAAGGCGGTAATCCATATTCCCCAGGAATCACCAAAAAAACAGTTATTTAACACAAATTTAGTGCCAAAAATTTAATCCAAAAATTCAGCCTGCAATCCCGCGCCAACAAAGCGAGTGATTTTTTTTGTCTCCCAAAATTTTCCAGGATTGGTTGATCAAGATTGAGCAAGGTCTGTAGTTTTGTCAAGTCCTTGAAGAACTTGAATTTCAACGAATGATTTGGGCTGACCACATATTTATCCCTATTGACATTTCAGGGTGAACTCAAGTGACCCTCATTTTCTCGCCAGAAAAGTTCTGACCCAATCAAAAGCCTAGAAAATGAAAAAAACAGGTAAAATTGGACGTTTTATTTGATTGGACTATTCATTTTCTACAGGGGTGCATGGATGTTTTGGACATGCATTTTTTAAACAAACAGATGCATGAGAGTACAATTCACCACTTTGGGTCTAGAAAATGACCTGTAATGCCATCATAAGAACAATAAAAACTGTTCCCTAAAAATCCCTAAAAAAATGATTCAAAAATGGAGGACCAAAAATAAACAATGTTTTCTCTAGAAAATGAATTGTGTATATAATCCTTGCCAAACCAGGTAATCCATATTCCCCAGGAATCACCAGAAAACATCAAATTGAGTCATTTCTGCCACCAAAAAATCCAGAAACTGACCTGTAATCGAATGCCATCGTAAGTGATGTATTCCTCTGCCCAAAACTTGTTGAAGATTGGTTGATAAAAACAAGGTTGGCCAAGGTCTCTACATTTTTTTCGGTTCAACATGTATGTTGCCATGTCTTGCCAAACGTTTCAAGAAAATGCAGCTGTTAAACAACATTTTTCTACAAAATGATTCAATATGCCTTGGTAAAAAAAACCTTGCCATTTGGGGGGTAGCTCAAATGATCCTCATGTGCGAGACAAATTAACACAACAGTCACAAGTCACAAGCCTGGAAAACGAGAAACAAACGATAAAGATCGATGTTCTTAGGGGCCTGTTCTAATCATTTTCTAGAAATGTTTATGCCTGTTCTACACGTTCAAATTTTCAAGAAAATAGGCACATGGAAGTGCAACTCATCATCAACTCACGACTTGTTCTCTAGAAAATATCAGGAATAGCATGAAGCTGCACCAGTCAAAAAACCAAAGAAATGTGTGTCAAAATCTAAGACCCAAAATAAATCATGTTTTCCCTAGAAAATGAATTGCCTAACCCTTCCTGAAACCGGCACCCTATATTCCCCAGGGAACCCCAGAAAACCTCAAATTAGTCCCCCAGGAACTACAGTAAAAATCCACTTCAAAAAAACATGATCCAAGGAATCCCCCCAAACAATGATGTCATCGACCCTTTCATGTTCAGGCATTTTCTAGACAAAAATTAAATGAGCCAAGGGTTTCCCAAAATACTAATGTCTCTGTTTGGCTTACACTTCATTCAAACAATATTGCGCATTGGCAGCGGCACTTCAATATTTTGGCACTTTCGAGTGCACCCTGAAGTTCCGTCTGCACAATTTTGGAATAGAAAGTTCAAAAAAAAACATATCATCACATGACATTTCAACAAAATCTCGATAAATTATGGTCAATTTATATCTGTTTCCTGGATACCCGAAATCGTCTAGAAAACGCATGGCGCAATCAATTTGGCTCTTGATATCAATCTAGCAACTGTCTAGAAAATAACTTGATATGGAAGGATGAACTTGGCCCTGGGTATGGGGTTTTTTAAGCATTCCCCAGGAATGACCCAGGAAGCATTCGGACAAGAGTTCGATGTTTTTTTTTTTCTTCCAGCCCTTATCTCTCTAGAAAATGGTCAGGCACAGTTACATATAAAATTATTAAGGACCTTTTCGAACTTCCCCAGGAAATGTGGGAAAATTGACTGGGCGGGCAGTTTCTAGCTAGAGAATGGGTGAACTTGAGTTCACCCATGCTCTTCTGGCAAATTTCAATGAGGATATTTTTTCTGTTTGGCTCGTGCCTCACTGAAAAGATATCTTTTCTTGGCACTTCAAAATTTTTGGCACACTTGACTGAATCCTGAAGTTCATTCTTCACACTTTTGGAATAGAACATTGAAACGCATCTTGTCACATTTCAGAAAAACCTAGATGAATTTGGATCTATTTTGTGATGCTTTGGGGCGCCCCAATAGAGGTCTAGAAAATGCATTGCACAATCAATTTGTCTCTTGATATCAATCTAGCAGCTGTCTAGAAAATGACTTGATATGGAAGGATGAACTTGGCCCTGGGCATGGGGCTTTTTAAGCATTCCCCAGGAATGACCCAGGAAGCATTCGGACAAGAGTTCGATTGATTTTATTTTTTTTGAGCCCTTATCTATCCTTATCTCTCTAGAAAATGGTCAGATACATTTACATATAAAATCATGAAGGACCTTTCGGACTTTCCCCGGGAAATGTAGGGAAAATGACTGTTCAAGCATTTTCTGTCTAAAGAATGGGGTCACTTGAGTGACCCCATTCTCTATAGGGAAATTTCCATGGGGATACATATCTTCTGGCATTCTATCTGGCATTCTATCTGGCATATCTTCTGGCATTCTTTCTGGCACTCTATCTGGCATATATTCTGATATTCTTTCTGGCATATCTTGTGGCATTCAGAACATTCTTTCTGGCATATCTTATGACATTCTTTCTGGCATATCTTCTGACATTCTTTCTGACATTCTATCTGGCATATCTTCTGACATTTTTTCAGGCATTCTATCTGGCATATCTTCTGACATTCTGTCTGGCATATCTTCTGACATTCTTTCTGACACTCTTTCTGGCATTCTATCTGGCATATCTTCTGACATTCTATCTGACATCTTTTCTCACATTCTTCCCGTTGAGGTCCGGCAGTGCCCACTGCGATCTGCAACTCGCGGTTGAGGTCCGGCAGTGCCCACTGGGATCTGGAGCTCGCAGTGGAGGTCCGGCTGTGCCCACTGGGATCTGGACTGGGAGGAGGAGGCGGCGGGTGAGGAGGCGGAGGAGGCGGAGGTGGAGGCGGAGGAGGCGGAGGAGGAGGAGAACAGCTCTGATAAAATCTAACAACCCTCACTTGGCAGGTGGGGAAAAACGTTCGGTAATCAACCGTGGCAAACCGGGAAATCCCATAACTAGATGGAGGTTTTCGACAATCATCCAACTCAACGGTCAACATCCGACCCTGCCTGGGCAGGTGCAAAGCGCTTGGGGTCCGTCACAAAGAGGAACTCTGTGACAGTGCTGGGTTCTACTTTCACCGGAACCTCACGGAGTACACCCAATACTACCATCATCATCATCATCACCACCATCATCATCATCATCGTCATCACCCTCGTCCTCGTCGTCATCGTCATCGTCATTGTCATCTTTGTATCTGGGTATAGTTTAATATACAATAATATATATATATAAATATATAGAAAACGATTTTATTTATATACATATATGCTTTTATTGTTTTCCATAATACAGCTTGAGTATTGTGAAGAATTCACTGTATAAGAATTTGAGGGGCTCGAATCCAAGGCGGGCTACATATTTTCAACTATACCAAACACATAGTACTTTAAGAATTTGAGGGACCCTGAATAGGATTGCCAAATTCTTAACTTACTGCTTATTAATTATATTATATATACGTGAGGTTTGCAATTCCCCTTCGCGGTTCATTTTTTTGTGGTGTGACCCCTTATGGTCTTATGGGATGAAATCTGGCTTTGCAGAAAAACAATTTTTCAAGCTCCGATTTATTTTTTTTTCGCACATGCTTGGACTGCTTCCAATCCATGAAGCCGGGCCGTGCAACAACTCTGACAAGCTGCGCGCGCGGTGTGATTGTGAAAAGGCAGACTGCAGGAAACCAAGAAAGCGATATAGTGACGGACCATTAGATGCCGAAAGAGTCCACTGCCGGGATTCAAGCCTTCAACCTTCAAGCCTGCAGTCTGACACCTTGACCATTATGCTACAGGAACCTTGCCTTCAAGGAATTTTGCCTTCTGATTCTCTCTCTTTGCCTTGGCTGCCAAGGGCTGGGTTTATGGCTGCGAAAAATCAATTTTTCACGCTCTGAAAAATTGTTTTTTCTGCGCTGCTCAGACAAGCCTGGCTTTGCAAAAACACAATTTTTCAGGCTCTAGTTTTTTTTTTTTTCGCATGCCTCTTGTCAAATTTAAGCTCGCTCCAAATTGTGCAGATGCGTGCAATACATAACTAAGAATGCTCTAAGAACTTGAGGGACCCTCGGCCTATTGTGGTGTAAATTTGCCTGCATTTAACAATAAGAATTTGAGGGGCCCTGGGCCTCAAGCTTTTGGATTCTTAACCAGCTCTCGGCTGTAATGCATATAACATCATATAACTATATAACTATGATGTTATTCGCAATAATTCACCAACCTGAAACAGAGAAACTTTGGGATGGTGTCCCTTGCATTCACCATCTTAAATCCTCTTTTTGTTGGAGAGGTAGTTACCCATTTTCGGTCCATGTTCGGTCCAAGTCTCCAAGCCACAGCGCTGCTGGACGAAGCGAATCACCTCTGCGGCCTCCGAAAATTCGATGGGATAACCGCCCAACCAGTCCTTCACGTCCGTCCAAAAGTTCATGCCACGTTGAAGCCTTGCATCCTGAGGGGATGAGTCGGATTGAGTCGGATGGGCCCGATGGGCCATGAAAAAAATGATGGGCCCTGGGAAAATAGAGATACAACTGATATCAACTGAACATCTCAGTTGGAAACATCTATGGGATGCAATACTCGTCGAATTAAATGCGGGTGAGGTGTATTGCCAAGGGGGTCGCTATGAGCTGATGGTTTTACTATTTTTTACCAACTTTCATGTAAGGGGGTGTTATCTTCAAACCTAGCTGACCTGTTTTGAAGTAGATCATACTTCATGATTTTTGCCATTTTGTGGAGTTGAAACATCACCTCAGATGGTGTTCAAATAGTGCATAGCCCTACCCAAAAGGTTATCTTGGTATACCTTGGTGAAGGAAATGGAACGAAACCCGTCCTCCGCCATTTGGAATGGATTCCTTCCTTTTTGCATCACCTGCTCTCGTAGGATCCACCAACCATAGTCCCTCTCCATCTTACCACGGGCCAGGTCGTCGACAGCCAGGTAAAGTTGTTTGATGTAGATCCAGTAGTCTGGGTCCCGCACCATTTCCTGGGTGGAAGGGACAGAGATTTTTTCATATGTTTCTGTTTTTCCAGCGACCCACCAACAAGAAACAGCCTGTCTGAAACTTGGGACATGCGGATCCCTTACACTTTCATGGTCAGTAATGGTCGATATCACAAGGGCAACCTGGTCACCCGCGCGTAGAGGGCAACCAGCAGCAAGCCTCCTCCATCCTCGGGTGGCTTCACCAATCGACAGGAATTCTCCAGGGCAGTCCAAAGGTCTCTCGTGTGATGGAGAGCACCCCATGAGTAGACCACATCTGCCAACACCTACGGGTCAAAATCTGACAATTTTCTGTATCCCATATCAAAAAATTGGATGCTTTACGAACTACTCCCTTCCCCCATATCTAATATGAAATACTCCCCTAGAAACCTGATTGAGTATTGGATCTGTTCATTTGAGGTTTTGGGGTCCCTTATTGGAGGCATTGAACAATCTTAGGGAATCGGATCTTTGAATCGGATCTTTTCCGCCTCTGGCAGATCGCTTTGAATCAGCACGTCACCCAAATAGACATCCCAGCTACGATCACTGAAGGAATTATCATTCTCCATGAGTTGATGCCGCAACGCAGCAGTGCTGCTCACGGAACCTTCCTGTTGATCGAAGGAAATGATGTGCCTACAGGGACGCGTACCAAACATCAAAGATCATCAAAGAATTTCTTTGGAGGCTGTCTCCACCATCCAGGTGATTTTAAACATCAGAATTTCACAGGACATATCAGGACACGCCAATCCGGAGCCAACCACTCCTGGCATGTGAGAACAAAGCAGCTGCAGAATGGATGCCACTGCCACAGCCAATGTCGATGAAACTCAGGTTTTGCAGGACAGGCCTGGCTTTGTGACCAGGTAAACCCTGGCACCCTGGAAATCTTTGGAGATCTTGGGAGATCTGAGTTTGGAAGGGCAAAGAATCTGAAAAAGTCCACATGTCCAGCGACCCAATCAATGGTCTCTTGAAGGGAACAACATGTGATTGACTGGGGCTTCGGAGTCACAGAATCCAACTACTGATTGCACATCTATTATCCATCACTGTTGGCGAGTGTTGGCATGCCACCTTTTGGAACATGAAGCACATGGCTTTGTCATGGTTTGTCTGCCAATTTTTGGAAATGAAACTTCCTGGTTGAAATTCCTGGTTGATCATCATGTTATGAAAAACCTCCATAAATTGGGGTCATTTATTTTGGGAAACACCCAAGCATTCGACCCACCCACACGCCTGTCATCGTCAGAGTGGCCTCCCTCGTCATCGGGTGACAAAAAGCGAACCAAGTGAAACTCAGAGCACGAGAATGGCTCACGAGGAGGCAGCGGCTCGGAAGGACCCTATCTTTAATTTAGACTGAAAGATACTGAAAGTTCATGCACCTCCAGCTTGAAACAACTTTGGACTATATTTAATTGTATTGAACTGCGACATGAGGCAAAAACTGGAACAAAAATATGTAGTTTCGGATTTTCTTGGACTCAGCCACTCACCATGTCTTGCCAGTAAAAAGCAAAACATGGAAGTTCACCCACACCGATACCACAAGTTCTTCTGAAAACATCAAAGACAAGGATTGGTCAGTATGTTCTAAATAGGTCTAAATAGTATATGGAAGATGCAAATCGGGGGTGCAGCCAAAGCCGTTTCAAATAGACGATCTTGCAAGTGAAAAAACAAAGAAGAACCGAATCCACCCCTCAAAATTGGGATCGGGCTTGGAATATCTTCTATTTGAAAAGCCAAAATGTACCACTGCCGATTTTGTATAGAGGGAAAATACTGCAGTAAGTAGCTCCATTTGTGGTATTTCTGGCAGCAATCAGCATCTCCGAGATCAGCCAAGCTGCACGCGAAATTCCCAGCGACAGTTGCAAATCATCTCGAGAAGAACAGGAGAGTTCTCGAATGTACTTTTGCCAGTTTCCTCCGAAGTTGTAGGTTTCCTGGGCTAATTTCCGGGATGATATTGCAATGTCGGCTAGACTGGCTAGGTTTTTTCCTGGGTAAATCAAGCATGAATCATGGCTATGCGGCTATGAGGCTATGCCGCCCAAAACAATGTGGACTGATTGCTCGTTTTTTCCCAAAACTCTGAAAACCAGAAGAAGGTGGGACAGGGGGGTATGGCCGGTATGGCAAAAAAAAATGGATATGAATGATACGAAACCAGCAATGATCGAGAATGCCAACACCAAGAGGTGCATTGGCCAATAAATGGTAATAGGACATATGGGGGTTTCCTGAATCGGGGTACCCCAAATCATCCAAGTCATTAGACCATGACATACCATGCCTTAGTGTTGAAACAGCAATGGTGACTTGGGGATCCGACAAGCCTTAAGAACCCCCCGTATAGTGTGCACTCACATGTCACATAGGCAGCTTGGTCTCTGGGTTGTACAACACCGCTGCAAGCGTTAATGGGATCAGCAGGCAACCACAAAACACGTGGCCCATGGCTGCCCAGCACGGCTCACATTGAGACGACGGCTGATTTTGTCAAGATTCCCGAACACAAGATATGACTCTCTGACTAGCCTGTGATTAACGACTTGGGGTACCAAATCAGTATCTTTCTAAAACTTGCATTGAGAAACCATCATGCAGAAATTCATCAACATCTCAAACCTATCAACTTCAACGAAACAAACGCACAACAAACTGGATGACACTTCCAAACTGTCGTTGACATTGGCTGTACAAAGTCAATCACAAGATCCGGTAGATGACACACATATGACACACATTAAGGCAGTAATGAGAGTGGTTGGCCCTTGTGATTTCTTCATCCTCAAGGTTTTTTCGCCATTGTTTCTCACTCCAGTTGTATCCCAGGCTTGAGTTCAGCTGGCTGCATTGATCACTGATCGGTTCAAGGTAACGACCGGATGCACGAGTCAGGTAGAACTGAGCAATGGCTGCTTCAATGAGCCCTGTTGATGATTAGTTCGGGGATGGTTTTCTAACCACAAAAATGGAGACGATCAGAATCCATTAACCAATCCCTATCAACCAACCAGTTTCAAGTAACGATCTGAGATGGGTCTCTCTGAAAACAGGGAAATTAACCCAACAAAACTTGAGATTTATAACCAACCAGAATGGGAATATATAATCCGTCTCTCCGATAAATATTATTAAATGGCAGCCCAGAAAGCCTGGTGTAGTTTAGTATTGGATCTAATTATTCTGGGGATCTGGAGGCTATTCAAAAAACTTAGGGCGCAAAAAAAACATGGGACAAAGAAGCAACACTCTGATATAGCCATGTTTTTTCTCTGAAAATACGGGATTTACCCCAGAAAAGGCAATATTGGCCATCATCGGGAAAAAAAGGGCGGGATCTGTGGTCCCTGGACATGAGATTTTAAGCGTCAGGTTTTGTTCAGAAAGACGATACTGTAATGGATATATCGGATACAGGCAAACAGAACTTAGTGTGAAACTACCATAAAGAACGTACCAACTGCCCATGAATGTTGGCCCCTTCTCAAGACATTATAGCATAACTATATGATAACCATTTACCCCCCGGGGTATTAAAACGGCAAGACCCTATGATTTGCCTAGAACTGGAAATGGTTTTGATTGAGATGATGATGATGATGATGATGGTGATGGTGATGGTGATGGTGATGGTGATGATGGTTGTGGTGGTGGTGGTGGTGGTGATGATGGTAGTGATGATGGTGATGATGGCGATGATGGTGATGATGGTGATGGTGATGCTGCTGCTGATGGTGGTGGTGATGATGGTGGTAGTGGTGATGGTGATGGTGATGGTGATGGTGGTGGTGATGGTGATGGTGATGGTGATGGTGATGGTGATGGTGATGCTGCTGATGATGATGATGATGATGGTGATGGTGATGATGAAAATGATTCTGATGATACTGATGATGCTGATGATGCTGATGATGCTGATGACGGTGGTGGTGGTGGTGATTACTAAACCTATTATAATTGCAGTTTGCAGTTTGGTTAAATGTTCCATGGGAGTGGGAAATTGTATATCTGATGTAAGCCCTAAATAAATCCCTAATTATTTGTGTTGTTCCATTGGGATGGGAGATTGTGCACCAAATCAAGCCCTAATTGCGGTATGGTTAATTGGCTCATGGGGGTGGCATATTTTATATTTGACGTAAACCCCAAATGATCCCCAATAGCCTTATCCATGGCAGTAGAGTCCTCTTGCAAGCCGCAATGCCATGCTATTCCGTTTGTGGGCAAACCACAGGGTCTGACCACTATATTACATAAGCAATTAGTAATGACATTTGTGTAATGACATTTGTGTAACCACATGTAATCACCAATCAACGAATCTATTCCTTGGCTGGTCACCGAACGTATAACGCCGTCCTGCCAGCCATTGCGGAAGATGGAGTCTGGCAGAGAACCTTCCGTCAGGCCTGTGGTAAAGCCGAATGCTCCACCGGCCTGGTGCACTGGTCAGGTACGAAACTGCACTGAAACCATGATGGCTCGCTCGGGTGTCAAACATGGCTGGGAACTCCTCTATAAATGGAGGTTTTAATAAGAACATCATCTATAGATGGCGGATTTTTCAGTAAGCCATGTTTGATTACCGGCCGGAGGGTACCAGCAATTACAAAAAAGTAGGCCGCTTACTTAGGTGCTGCAAATTCGAACGATCCAATGACACAATGAATTGACTTATGGCCGTAAACATTGGGAAACTACCCCCAGACAGCATGGTTTATAATGGTTGTTTCTCGATTTACTGCAGTAAATTGGGGTGTCACCCATTTTGAGACAAAACCAAATCATAGTAGTTGGTTAATTAATCAATTACTGTAGATTCCTTAGAGTCTTAGACATAGCCTCCGGCCACTACAAGAACAGTGGGCAATAAAGGTTGATTGGAAATCCCTACTCAAGAGACGATAGTTCCAAAAAGGTCGCTAATTTTGGGAAGGGACACCCACCGCTGGAAGAATGTATCCCTGATCTTCATCGTGCTAAGAAAGTCTCCTGTGCAGTCGAATGTATTTTTTTGGGTCGTTGGTTTGTCATGTATATTCATTCATGACACCATGGATTAATGGATATTATAAGTAATATCATATGTAATGGATATTAACGGATATTAACTAATATCATTCACTAGGTACTAGTACTACTGGATATTAAAATATATTAATCGATATTACCAACCATTATGGGGTTGTAAGTGGTGGGAAATGCCACAGACACAGACACACCACTTACAGCACAAGGAGTTGGTTCTACGACTAACCTACTGCTGGGATCCTTGTGATCAATCACCAGATTCCAAACTGGCAATAATCATCAACCAAAGAGGGTTCTCCCCCTCCAAATATCAATAATAATGATGTAAACTAGTATGTGTAGTAAATATCAATAATATTCGGATTATATCCATCTAATTATTAGGATGTATTATATACAGTAATTTTCCCAGATAATCTTAACACATCTCAATTATATCCAACATCCCCACGAAATCCACCATGTGTTGGTGAAATCACCAAATGTTTGATGCTTTCTTTCGCCACATTGATGGCGACCCTGGCCTTGTGCATGAGTTCAGCAGCCACGGCGGTTGCAGCCACCTGTCAGCTGCTGGTTGATCCAAGGAGAACTGTGGCTATCCCAGCCCGTCTACCCGGCCTGGTAAACTAACATAACTATGGAAAATCACCATTTTCAATGGGTAAATCCACTATAAATGGCCATTTTCAATAGCAAACTGTTAAATTACCAGAGGGTATCTCAAAAACAAAAGTAACTCACTGTGGCTCCCAGATTTCCCAACTGAATTCAATATGATTGTGCTGTTTGCTGTTCAAATTTTGGATCATTTTGGATCAGCCCCTCAATAAACGACAAACGACCAACGAAAAGATCAGAGGCCGAAACTCGGCCTGTCGACACTGCCAACTTCCCTGGTGCTCAGAGTCAACGTCCATGCATTCCTCCCGCATCAGAAATTTGGGGCAAATGGTCACTGGGGTCAGTTACCATCCAGCCAAGAACTATCCCAGTGATGCAAGTGCTGAACTTAGGGAATATCCAAGTGACAAACATGAAGGGGTACACACACATCACTGCTTGGATCTTCTCCCCTCGTTAGCTTCATATAGTTTCATGCTCAGCGCAGAAGATGGTAGAATCTGGTATATAGAACTCCTGAGTACTATTTACATCTAAACCTAAATCGATTCAATCCTATTCATGATATAGATGTATATTCACCTATTATAGTAATATTCTACGATCATCTATTCACCTCACATGGATCGTATTTCGCCCCAGCTACCAGCCCCGCTGTCCTGTGAGCAGTAGGCCACTTGCGAGCAGAAGCTACAGAGCAATGTGGCTGGTGCCTGGCGATGCCGGGAGTCTATAGGCATCCACATTCAGCCATGTCATTGCATTGTACTGTTTGGTTCATAGTGGTTGGCAGAACCACTTCCGTAGCCCTGTATATCATCAGTATCATCACCACCACCAACAACAACATCACCATCATCAACATCATCATCATCATCATCAAGAATGGCAGCACAAATCCGTTTCAAAATGATCCATTCATGGGTGTTGGCCTTGCTTGCATGGTATGGGTCGAAATTTGGCAGCTGCGGGAAGAAGAGATTGAATAATCCTTTTCGGTAAGGTGCCATTACATTTTCATGGTTCTTCAACCCATTTTATTTGGTTTATAATCTCTGTTAGTTGTTTGTGTACAATGCATACAGGATCATATATGTATATCAAGTAGACCCCCCAAACAAATAGAATGATATAAATAGAACATGATGAAAAAGTACTTCGTATAAAGCTTTAGTGGGCTTTTCTTGGTGCCGACCAGCGACCCCGGACAGCTGCCGCCTTACTACAGACCTTGCAATGTGGCAAGTGTACGAGCTGCTCTAACTGCCACGGCTCTGGAGGCTGCCCCCTGGCTGTGGACATCACTATTTTTTAGACACACCCAAATATCAGATATATCAGTCTGGTTTTTACATAGAAATCCATCATGATTTTACAGTGGGACTAACTGGTCATTTTTTCTGGTTGGTGGTATACCTACCCCTCTGCAAAAATATGAGTTCGTCAGTTGGGATTATTCTTCCCAATACATGGAAAAACAAACATGTTCCAAACCACCAACCAGATATCATATATCGGTGGTTTCATCATGATTATATCCACATGGGAAAAATCCCCCTATATCGGTTGATTTTATGCGCCCAGTCCCCCAGTCCTGCTAGTTGTGTCATGTCACCATGTTCACACACACAAATATCATTATCCAATTGTTGGTGAGTCATAAACCCATCTTTGTACATACTCAATATCTCTTAACCATATTGAAAAATATTAGTCAATGGGAAGGATTATCCCATAAATTATGGGAAAATAAAAAATGTTACAAACCACCAACCAGATATGGTTGGTTATGAACCTGAATGTTTATTGATTACTGTAAATCCCTCATTTTCAGAGACAACCAAATACCATGTTGCTTCTTATACTGTTCATAATATGTCACTAACATCCCAATGAAGTCCCAGCGATACCTCATGTTTCTGTGCAAACAAAGGGAACACCATGTCAAATTCTTGGTTAGTTTCGTCTTATTCCCTTTACATAATTTCCAACAACAAACCAGGTTTTCCCCCGATTATAATGAGCCCGTTGTAATCCCACCAAACAAAAGAGCACACCCCTTGATCATTTGGGATGATTTATATCCCCATTGAATAACCTCATTGGTAGGATATATCCTGCTTATATCTACCAAATTGGTAGGATATCCCCATGTTTATATCGTAATCAAAATTGGTTGTGGGCATCCTCATTATTGCTAGTATTGTTATCTTTAGCACCATTTTCAGAGACGCCCAAAAATCAGATTGTTGGTTTTATATCCATTACATCCCCATGAATGCTTGGTTCAATCCCCATCAACTCCCAATTTATGATATGTGTGTTCCACCATGCTCTAATAACGAACACACATGAACATGGTTAAAATGGGTTCAATAAATTGTTCAATCCCACCATTCACCCCATTAAATATCATTAAATCCTAAGTATACCTCCATTTGGGTTTGTTAGAAAACAAGATACCCACAATTTGACGGTTCAAAACCTTGGTTTCCCAATGAATGAACAATGCCATAGATTGGGGGTAAATCCCCAATCTTCCGAGAAACCAACATATCAACATATCATATCATGGTTGGTTAGTAATATCCAATGAAATAGCATTATTATCCCATTCAACCACCATTAACACCCATTATAAATTATCATTAATGCTTATTGGGATTGAATTTAATCCAGATGTCATATCATGTCATGTTACTTGGTTAGTTATAGCTATTAATATTCCCTATGTTGTCCCTACATATTATATCCTCATTAGATTATCCAGAACTAGATGGTTACCATCCCCTCGTCTCCGTATATATCACCATGTTTGCTAGTTAAATCCTCCATTTTTGATGATGAATCCAGCATATGTCCCATGATTAATCCAATCCCCCTAGTATTAAACACTCCCATTGTATGGTGCCAGTCATATGTGGTTAAAAAACGCCTATTAAACCACGGTTTTCAAGGGTGTTTTTGATATGGGGGACAGGATTAGATGGCTCCCAACTCCCACTCAATCACATCTGCTCTGTCTGAAATCCCCCCAAAAAATGGCTCTTTCATGGGATCTTTGATGGTTCATCAAGTGGATATCAGTGGATATCAGTGGATTTGGGAACCCCAATTTTCAGACAACCATGGAAATATGAGTGGATTTTCTGTACAATTAATTACAATCACCATTTTCAGACAAACCCATTTAAGGGGAGAAAAAAAAAAACGTTTCATGTGGGAAATACCCTCTGGTAAACTAACATAGCTATTGAAAATCACCATCTTTAATGGGAAAATCCACTATAAATGGCCATTTTCAATAGCTATGTTAGTTTACCAGAGGGTATCCCCATGGAAATTCCATGGAAAAGTCACCATGTTTGTTGCTGAAAAAAATTCCCAGTCGATGTTTGGCACCTGGATTTGGTCCAGACATCGACAACCTCTGGCAGAGCATCGGAGACCCACTCGCGACCTGCCACCTGCGGCAGGGGGAACTTCAAAAGGCCTATACTTGGGTTATAATCAACGAAATATGTGTAGGGAAATTACAAAAGATTATGACATGTATAATCACAATTCGTCAACTATAGAGTTCCGTGGATGAATTTTTGGAAAATTCGCAGGTAGCCGCGGTTGCAATCTTCCCTTCAACCAATTCTGGAAATGTTTGGGACATGACTTGACTGATATAATATGATTACTGTAGCATGTTAACAATGTTTGGTGACATTTGATGATAAGTATGAAAGTTTTATGGATGTGTATATTAGAAACAATTATATATTATATAAAAGATTATAAAAGTATATTAAGCACATATACATGTCCTATGCACGTACTGATTAAAGCCCTTGCACGTATTAAATTGGAATTCATTTACCATAACTTTCCATAATTGTGATAGGTATGCAGTCGCATGAGATGGAAAAAAGCCGCGGTATTGATTAAATTGTGTGATATGATATGTTTCTCCAAAGAAACATCATGAAGTAAAGAAAAGCACACAAATCTATGATTGAGAAAACATGGACGCTAAGAATAGAACATACATCTACTGCACATTATATTAAACGCGTGAAGTTTATTAAAGTAATTAATTGCCATTAAAAAACATTGGTCACCCATAGGTTGTTTGGGATGTCGACAGAAGGCCCACCATGTCACCATGTCACCAGCGCAGAACCGAGCCTGTTGCAGAAGGCCGCCCTTGATGGATGAAATGAATCTGCAAACTGCTTGGTGCCTGCGGCTAGGGACAGCTTTGTACATGGTCCATGGTCCGTGTTTTTCGTTGCATGGAACAATGCAAAGAGAATGGATGCAAGAGATCGTGCAAAATGTCGTGTTTCTTGACATGTTTCGATACAGAAATTTCTGGACACTTGCCAGTTCCATCATGTTCCATCTTTGAAGTACTTTTTAGACAACCTTGGCATCGCCCTCGGCATCGCCCTTGGCCGCGCATCGCCTGGGCCAGAAGCGACGTTGATGGTCCCTGCTGCAAAAGCGCACGCTGTGGCAGGAACTGCAGAGCGACAACTCCGTGGTGGCCTGGCAGGACCCGACCCCCTGTCCTGGACAAAGCATAACGCTTTGTAAAACGCAGCTGACAAATGAACCAGTTGGGAAATCATGGGATATATTAGGCTGCATATTAGATATTATTATATCATATTAATAAAACATCTTCTAATATGTCATGTAGAATCCCTGAGAGCAAAAACAGCCTTTCCAAAGTTTCCAAAGCCAGCCTTTCTTGTGCTTCCTCTATTTTTTGCCGGGATGACTAGCTGTTGCGCCTTGCACACTGCGCAGCTGTAGGGGTTGTGTAAGCGTACCTGGGATGTGGTTGCACACAAGACCATGGATCATCATGAAGCACAGCAGGTTTCACCAAACCTTACAGTAATTATCTGATGTGTGGTTTCAAGTTTCAACCCAACTGAAAAAGATTGGAAATTGGGGATGACCCTCGCAAATATCGCTTCAACAACTATACCATACTGACTATACTTGAACCCACAAACCAGCTAATTATAAATCTTTATCCATCTGATCTCATGTCATGCGTCACTTGGTCCGAATTGATCCCATGTCTGGCATGGGGCGTTTGTCGCACAGCAGAATCAGATCATGGTCAATTCTTGGGTTTTTCGGTGCTCAGATCTGCCGTCGGAATTGCCAAAGAGTTTTCCCAACACCTTTGAGAATTGCAATCCATGCTGATCCCACAATGTTGAAGATACTTGAAGATATTTAAAGCTATTAAATGTAGAAGGGCTGTTTGTTCCCAGATTTTTCGATTCGGGATTCTTCGTTTTTTTAAGCTCCAGAAAGCTCCGCATTGCTGGGCCGAGCAGCATTCAGTGAGACAGGTTGACCATCTGCTTTGCAGAGTGGTTGTGCTAGGGGTCTGGTGACCCCTTGAAAGTTCAGCTTCTAGTAATCCCCAAAAAAATACTGTAGAAAGGACATGCACCACCATGTTATTTTGATTTGACTTGAGTATGTTTTCTTTGGGAGTTATATAATTATGCTGGCATGAATCACTTAGAATTTAGAATCTCCTGCTTGGCAACCCATGGAGTTCAGGGCGAGAATGATGTGCCATACAGTGAGAACATCCAGCGAAATTCCTTACATCCCAAGTCAGCTCCAGTTAGCTCTTCTCAAACGAGGTCTTGTTCACTGCCCACCACGCACCGCTCTTCATCCACAGCCATTGTGAAAATCACATCCACTCATGATCGCCATCATCCCTTCAGTACTGGAGTTGGGTTCCAACCTGTTCCAACCTTTAAAGTCACCAGCGCTTCAGTGGCTGGATTCTTCCAGCGCCATCGCTTTCGCCGCTAGCAGCACTAGTGACACCTCCGTCGGAACCGTCGACGCGTCGTCCAGGGGAACCGCTTCCGTGGTGCAGAGGCGAAGCTGGGCGTAGTTCGCCTGTAACTTGGCGGCCAGCGACATCCTCAAGGACAATTGATGTCCTGGTGGAACCAGTGGATGATGAGACTTTAACAATGTTGAATATATATGCTTCATCATTTTTATTCAGGGATGATGCTCATTACCTAAATAAGTAAATGATATTCATAGATTCATAATGATATTCAATGATGATAAATCAAATGTTTGGAATGATGAGCCAGAAATGGAAATTCAAAAAACAAAATAAGGTACACAGCGATGAAAACAGCTAAAACCAGTACTGTATGTATCATAAAACTTATCACGTAATCCACAGTCAAGAGTCATTGGAGTCTTGGCATGTGGAATTGCACATGCAGGCTAATGCTAGAAAAACCATTGATTTGGGAATAGTTCCACCACAAAATAGCAATACAAATCCCATAGGCACAATGAAAATCGCTACGACCCCCGGGTATGCTCTCCTGCAACGGGATCATATTTTGGGGATGGGAACATTCAATTACCCTCCGGTAATTTGTTACATAGCTATTGAACATGGCCATAGAAATAGTTGATTTACCCATTAAAAATGGTGATTGTCCATTAAACATGTTAGTTTACCAGAGGGTAATAGGAATACATTCTACTCAAATCACAAACAAGTCTCGGTAGTGCAGGTGACTGGGAAGGGCAAGGTATCCCCATCCATCTTGTAGACCCACACAGTCCTTCGGCACTTTCCACAAAAACAGCGCTGGCTCATGGTGAGCGGAGCACTGGATGCTGGAAAGATTCTTGCAAACATTCCACAAATTTGAAGGGATTCTTCTTGTAGCTGTTAGAATAAGTTTCAGAACAAGTTTATGCCGGAAAGAGTCAGTACACAGCACATGATACTTGATCAATTGGCATCATGTGAGTCATAGATTCGTTTTTACCTTTGCATCTTTGCAGATTTCTCTTGGTAGGTCAGCTGGAGGGAACCCAATGGAGCCAAGCCGCTGGAGTCAACAAACTGAGAGGAGCCGACTAGTCGAATTGCAATATTGACATCATCTTCAGGAGTTTGAGGTGTATAATGTAATTATAATTGATGTTGAAGGCTTACTAGGTCTTACTAGTATATACATAATTACTTGGCATCCCTCCAACATACAAATGACATGGGGTTTGGCAAGTCACCTTGCTATTCCCGTCTGAACGTTGGGGGCATAGCTATTTCCAGCGTTTCTCGCGGTCCGCACGATGGTGTGACAAGTCTTGGTCGTCGGCTGTAAGGACTGCAAGATCTCAGCGGCCGGGGAAATTGGAGAATCCACCGAGATGTTTCATGTTGATGTTTCATGATGTTTCTATATCTGTTGCTAGAATCTACAAGTAGATGCCACAAAAAAATACATCATTTTACCATGTCAACAATAATTATATATATATATTTATAATATTATGTATATCATACCTGTCTTAGATCACCAACTTCACAGAGGGGCCCAAAGTCCCCAAAGAACTGCAAGGCTGCAATGCTCCGCGGTATGTACACGTCCCCGAAGCCACTGGCGAGTGACATTTGTGCAACAATATGGGCCTGGTATCCCTGGTGGAGGAAACCTAAAATAGTTGGTTAATGCATGTTGATTGCCCACCATTTGGTAATAGGTTTTTCGCCATGTTTTGATCCATCCCCATCTGCCAAAATCACAAATTCGGGACTAGGCTGCCCAACCTTCCGCTTCGCCTGGGCAAAACCAACGCTTTTGTTTGCGACGACTGTGAGGCTGATGAGGTTGGTCGGAGTTATTTTTCGGTCCCCAAAAAATCATGGCATTTCTATGTGGCAAATCTGTTAAGTCACCAGATGGAATGAGGTACCCAAGAACATCCGAGAAGCCCCAAATTCATCCAAATTCATCCAAATTCACTTGGCTGAGAACTTGAATACTATGAAATACTATGAAATACTATGAAATACTATGAAAAGAGGTAGAGCTGTGGATGACGTCCAGCTGCCCACCCATCTGTGGAGAATCTGCTCGTGGGCCCATCCCGACCTTCTGCTCAGCGCTGGGTTTCACCACTGGCACTGGTGGCTCCTGACATCCAAAAGATATCAGTGTTGTGGAAATGGGAGATATAACCAATCAATCACTTGGAGACACCATTGGATACATAGCCAAGAAGTATGATCTTATAGGGTTAGGGTTTATATATATATACGTATATACGTATAATATGTTATCAAAGTAATTGGAAACAAAAACATAATTCAGTGACTATATGTGACTCCACTACAATCAACATTTTTCCTCATTAAAATTGCATAAAATGGGGCATCTACCCCATTTTCAGACACAGCAATTTTGGACATGGAACCAGCGCCACGTTGAGACGATAAGCCACGACTGGTGATTCCCATGATTCCCATGGCTTTGCGAAAAAGGCTGCTATGTCTGAAAATAGGCTACTGGGGGTACCCCTCCACTGTTCAATCATCATGTTCCTAATTGAAAATGGCCATGACTCAGTTAGGTTGATTTATGTTGATTTTCATCCCCCTGAGTTTGAGGTACCATACAATGTACCAAGCCACCAAGCTCATATTTTTTTGCTCATCAAATGACTGCTTCCCATCCTGCTCTTTCACTTCCTCCCTCTGCGCTTTGGCAGCCTGTAGCACCAGGCACAACGGGCGATGCGGCTTTCGGTCACAATAAAGAAAGTTCCCCCAGAAACCACGGGGTTTTCACAGATAAAACCACATATGACTGGGACCACACAATGGGAATGTTTAACATCAGGGGGATTGGATTCGATTGAAAAAAAAAATAAGCTCTTACAAGACCTACGAAAATCAAAACACATATCCACTTTGATCCAATGTGGGAGTGAAAACAATTCGACCCCAAAACACTGTGAGACGTCTTCCCCTTGTCGCCCACCTCGACCAAACCAGTGGTAAGCATAGACAGGAAGTCCTGCTGTGGAAACACCAGGAGAATGGATAGGGAATAAAATCATTAGAGGATAGCTGAGTAATGGCTGAATTTGGCTCTTATTTCATTCTACTCCTTCTGATGACTATTATATCCGTTATATCGGATCGTATTTCGTATATTGTGGGTAAAACAACAATAAACCATCCTCCAAATCACCCATCAATGTGCTATAAACCATTCCCAAATGGGTCGTTTATTATTGTTTCACTCACATTGTAGCTTAACAATCATCAATTTCTTACCTCTTGAAGTGCCTAACCACGGGTTCCAAGAGATTCATCAATCACTCATCAGCCGGGGTTCCCCTTCTCTGGGTTTGTACAATTCAAAATTGAAGCAAAGAGTAGGATCCAAGATGTCACGACATCATGGGGATGATAATCATATATAATCATCAACATCATCCCCCTATCTAACCATCGAAGCTGCCAAGCAGGTTAGCTTCCGCAACTGCCAGAAAATTCGTGACTCAACTCAGTAACTCGTCCTGTTGGTAGATGGTAATGACCTTCATCAGTTGCGGATCTTCTGAAGTGATCTTCTCTAAGAAAGTTTCCAAGGCCTGCGGTTTGGAATTTTGGCAGAGCCGCAAAGTATCTTTTTTCAGTTGTTTTCTAGGGAAGAAAATGAAGGAAGCTCTTTTGTGGTTTCCATTATTTTTTTAAAGAATTCTTAAGTGTCTCCTCTAAACTTTCAATTCATCCAAGTCTAGTATTAGAGAAATCTGCTGGAAGGGTTGGTTGATTTTGATTTGAAACCTGGCGATAGATTCCTTTGTAGATACACTTAACATCAGATCATCAGACAAAAAATGTTGGATATTGAAAAGAGAAACATATTGCAACATATACAGCATGTCAATATAAGTGCCAGTATCACTTCAAACGAACAACCATCACTTTTTTTTTGACGGACTGGCAAGCTTTATTGGTGACATACCCATCTAGAACCATTCTAAATGCATCTACATACTAAGTCAATATTCTTGGTGCAGCCTGTAGCATCAAAATTCAAAAGTCTGTGTTTTTCCCTTCCATTGGCAATGTCATGGAATTAGAAAATTCCGTGTAATTCCAGCATTGGAATCATGCAATATCATGCAATCATATCATAGGATCATATTAGGTCCTGTACCTCAGTGAACATCATGCAATAGCTCGTGAAGCCTCCGGTGTCAGCTCCATGGCTTGCTGGAAAATTCCCCAAGTGTCGATGATTTTCCCAGCTACAAACCTCCATGATTTCGTCGATTTTCCCATGATTTTCCCATGATTTGATTACGGAGGGTAGCTGGACGTTCCTCCGCCCATCTTCAAATGGCAATTTGCATCGGGAATAGAAGCTGCTTATACACACTCATATTATAATAACATATTATAACTACCACTATTTTAGCCAGATTTCATTTCCATGTTGGCTCCTGATATTCCCATTCTATGCCAAAGATTCGTAGACACTCAACTGTTCCCCCAGTGTGCACCGATCGGCCCATGCCTTGGGGTCTTGTGCCACCTCTGAACGCAACTGCTGAAATCCTTCGCCTTCGACCGGATCTTCAGGGGGTTGGGTACCGGTCGAACTGGGTGGTCTAACCCGAAAAAATCTCATTGACTCTCATGGATTCATGGGAAAATCAGGTGTTAAACCATCAATTTATTAAAATTGGGGGAAAGTGAGGAAACAAATCCAGATTGCAAATGGGCGTCCAGAAGCTTTGACCCTTTAAAATACCCCAACAACGAGCTAGCTGATCTTTACAAATCTATACCTGTCACAACTCAATCAGCAAAAGTCATCTTGGACCTGGGATGACCGATGACCCAAGGCCGGCCCAAAGGAAGTGCCAAAAACCTCAAATTCCCATAAAACGCTTCAATAAATCTCCATTTCTGCGCTTTTTTACCCGTTTCGAAATCCCAACAGCTGTTGACATATGTTGACATATGTTGACATCACACCTGGCAACATCCTCTGCTAACCATCAACTCATCCAAGCCATCCCAAGACTTCCAGGCGCCGCTCACCCCGAGCTGCCCGGCTATGTGCAAACGCCTCCAAATCTGCCACTCTCGCTGGAGCCTGGGGAATCGGACCAAAGTGCTGAGTTGACCTGCGAACTGCTTCTGAATGTTCTACTGATTTCCTGAAAGAGCTATTCAAAAACCCATGGGATTCTTGGCTGATCCCTTTTCGAACAGGTCAGTAGAACCCCATTGTTTGGATCTTTGTGAACAATATATGCTGGAAACATCTGTAAATCAATTTGTGTTCACATTTTTCACACGGCTCATGTGGAAAACAATGATAAACCATCGGATTTTAGAGGGAATGGATCAAGACCCCGCCAAAAACCATCCAACCATCCCAATACTGCCGGAATAGGCAAGTTCGGGACGGAACTCAATCGTTGGAGTTCCATGTTAAATTTAGGAGGGGTTCATGTAATGAACTCAACCTACATGTTCCTACAAATAGTTCCATTTCTTGGCTTCATCACTATTTATGACCCACATTGACCCATGGTGTCATACCCCAGCCTCACTCAGCGGCTCCAGCGGCTTTTCACCTGCGACCAGGGGTAACTATGGCGACCAGGGGCCCCGTGGCAACGATTTACCTAAATCAACAAGGACTGACATGAACGTGCCCAGAACGATGAAAGGCACGTGCATTTGAGGTGGCTTGTCAAAGTATGACTGTGGGTCAAGCTTCCTGTAACTGGAAAGCAGCAATAATTGGTTTTGTCTGAAAATTAGGCTGCTCAGCTGCTCCACTGATCCCAGTTTTCATGATTGAACATCGCAGTTTTCAATGGCCATTTTATGGGTCATCCCCCATTTTTGTTGGATAAACCCATTTGAGCGTGTCTGATAATGGGAGAAAAATGCGTGTATTTGAATGGGAAATGTGGTTTGAAACCATCAAAATGGGGGGGAATCCCCTAAATAATCCATTGTTTTGGGAGGAAAAAAATCAAGTGCCTTCTCATGCCTTGTAGATACCAACCCCGATCTGTGCCTTGATCGGCTGACCGGTTGGCCGCATTCGGGTCGACCTGCGTTGCCGGAAATGCCAACGGAGCCTACAAGATGGGTCGTTTTGCGGATTGAACAAATCATGTTCGGGTGATTTTGACGCATCCGACTTTGCCCAGTATTTTTGCAAGTCATGTCATGGTCTGATTTCTCTCTTCGAATCCTCCCATTTTGGATGAAACGAGCCGATGACCTTCCGGTCCGGCCTTCCACTTAGGTGGAGGTCCAGGTGTTGGAATGCTGGGAACTTCTGGTGCAGGTACATTCGGCCATATCTCACTGATGACACCTCAGCAAGTTAGGAGGGCGTTGCATAGTTTTCAAGTGTAAAGACTTATGAGGAAGTACGACTAAAAAAACAAACCACTTCTGGTAATTTGACATGGCAACTGAACATCTAAATTTTTGATGAGAAAACATGGGATAATCCCATTGAAATTGGGGTCTTAGAACTCCTTGGTTCTCCATGGACATCCTCAAGTACACTGCCGGCAAAACCATCTGAACATAAATATGTAAATACAAGTAACAACCATTGAAAATGGGTGGAAGTGCAGTTCCCGTTCTAAGATGTTATAAGTGGGTATATACCCATAGTATACCCATAGTTATAGGGGTTGTGTCCGAACTTCTGGTGGTTCTAACCCTAGTTATACCCATTTTTTTGGACCCAACTGCATCCCCAAGTTCCTGAGAGTAGGACGATGTTCGGCGACTTTCCTGCCGTCCATCCCGTGGCTCACCGTTCACTGTGACACCATCCAAGCCATAGAATGGAAGGGAAACCCCATTCGTGACTGCCAGTAGGACCCATCACTGTATTCTGGCAACAGAATAGTTCATCAGATATTTCGAGACTTCAACAGGAACAGACTGAAATAAGAGAGAATCCCTTCCCCAGACTCATGAACGCACCCGTGCAATCCTTGCTTTAGCATTGAATCTGGATATTTGGGATTTGGGGCTTATATGGTGGATTGCCATTGGAATTTTGGGATCAGATCGATTCATATCTTGTATGATTTTGTATGTACATGGTTTGACGCCATATGGGCGAAAGATTGGCAATGTCAAATATGTTACACATCTACTTTGGCTGATCAAATCACAAGCTCCAATGATCTCCAATGTTTTTTTTTCCTACCCAGCTCGGCGGACTTTTTTTTGGCTAACCGTTAGATTGGTTGGTATACCCAGTTCATACATATTCAACCATATCAAACCGCATATTCAACCCAATTGAACCATCTTAAACATTCTACTAAACACCGTTAAACCATATTAAACCTCATATCAAACACTATAAAACTATATATGCTATATACCCTCATATTAAATACAATATTTAAACAAGATATATAAATATTGAACCTTACATTAAACACTATTATCTTTCCTGCAGCCCTCCATTTAAAACACCGTGTCTATACGCCTCGGAGGCGCGACATTGCGTGCGCGCAGTGCCCGCTGCTCTCGCAACCAGAAACCACTGCTCCCCTGGTGGCGACCAGGAAATGTCCCAATTCCCAATGGGAATTTTAACCATATCTGGTTAATATGTGGTTAACATACTGTTAATAATGGTTAATGATGATGGTTATTATATATGGTTAATGATGGTTAATAGTAATCTGGTTGGTGGTATACCTAGCCCTCTGAAAAATGATGGAGTTCGTCAGTTGGGATTCTGACATTCCCAAAATGCACAAATGTATGAACCCTCAAAGCAGCTGGGGCACCTTTTATCCGTCTTGAGCCAAAACGTATCGTTAGGTGAATATAGGTCTACACATGTTATGTAGAAACCCATACCTAAACACCCCTCCTAAGTTCATGCCTTTAGCATAGAACTTCAAGCTACAAGCCGTTTCGCCTGTCTGTTCCTACCTTCTACAGACACCTGCCCCATGCGATTCATGTGGCACCATGCAGCGTCAGAAGGAAGTGGCTTCGTACACAGGTCAGACAGATTCTGATGTGTACCCACCGGCTCGACCTTCAGAGTTTTGGTTGACACCTTCTCCTGGATCCACAGGAACCTAGTCTGCACGTGTCTTGTCTTACCAAGACCCTTCCTCGACACGATTCCTCTTGCCGCCGAACTGTCGCTCAGCAGAACCAGTTCTGTGTCGATCTTCCACTCGTCGAGCATTGCTTTCAAACCCAATCCTACTGACCCTGCTTTCACCAAAGCGTAGAATTCCGACTCTCCACTGCTGAGGGATACAGTGCTCTGCAGGTTACTACTGTGCTTCACACAGCATGAACCCAACATACACACGATCCCAGTTGTGCTGCGACGGGTCTTCAAGTCGCCAGCGTGATCTGAATCACAAAACACTCGAATGGTGTTGAACATCTTCTGGGGTCGAAACTTCGATACCACTCGCATGTGACCGGACAGATAACGTCCGAGGCGCTTGAGCTTTCCCCAAGCATATTCGGTAGGATGTTGCATATGCCGAGCAAGTGACTTCGTTGCTTCAGCCAAGTCGGCACGATCCATTGACAGGTAAGCAGCTCGCATAGTAAGAGACCTGTATTGTGAAACTTGTTCTGGTTCCAAATCGGGCTGTTCTTCAGCCGCGATGACATCTTGAATTTTCTGCTTTTCCGCCGGTGTACTAACCGGTTTGCAACCTTCCAAGTTTAGGGCTTTCACAATGTATTCAGCATGGCGTGGATCTGCTTCATAGTCCAACACGCCAGTCGTCTTGTCATAGCTGATCACTCTATTGAGTACGCACATTGACGTACCATCTCCTCGTTCTGGACCAATCAAGCCGTCCACACGATATTCAAATTTCTTCTTTAAGCATTCTTCGAGGTACTTCAAAGCTTCATCGTCACCAAGGCAAATGAAGTCATCACCATGAACGATGAAACGCAAGTCCATTTCATCATGGATGAACAGTGCCGGCCATGCTTTGTTTGCACTGTCTGAAGTTGTTCTCCGTCAGCAACTGCACGTACGTGGATTGCCAGATGTTGGCAGCATCCAGCGTCCCGTACATTGAGCGTCTGAGGAGCGCGCAAGCTCCCTCTTGTTCACTGCCTTCTGGAAGAGTACAGAAAACCCTCCTCTTGGATTCTCCGTAAAAGTGCGCCCTGGAGATGTCTATTAGCATCATTTTGTAGGGCCTGTTCCTTTTGCTGGTGCGCTTTGACACCATCAACGCACAAAGCACTTTGAGAGATTCCAGCGGAGGCATTGCACTAAAGCTTTCGAACTCCGCCAGTGATTTCGATGCCTTCTTTACTTCCCGAACCACCAAGCGAGATCGATAGTTTGGATGACTGTCGTCACCCTTGTTGCGATCCACCCACTTAAGGGTTATTGGAGGACGGTTGGTCTCCTCCCAGCACAATAGTGGTGGGAACAACATCCCATAGCTGCTGTTTCTCCACCCACTTCATCTCTTCCTTTCTGGCTTCCAAAACTTTCACTGGATCCAGTGGCATGCCTGTCACTGAGTCCACATAGTCGCTGACAGTCTCGTCCACGAAGCTTTCGGTTTGGTCATTTGAGGTATCATCGGGTGAGGGACCCGATGTGAGCTCTGCCAAGGTACTGAGTTCGCCTCGAACTCGAAGCTCTCGCCGAATTCCATCCAGAATTGCAGAGACCAGTTTTGGTGGATACGTCTGTGCAGCACGAGCTCTGCCATTGATCAGGTGTACATGCCTGTGTCCACCTTCACACTTTCCTTCGATACACTTTGCCATTTCAGGAGAATTGGTCAGCCAGCAGGTATCCTTCCTGACATATCCCACACCCTGCTGATCCTCAGCGACCATCTCCCACTTGCACATAGGCGACTCCACCTTGTACACTCCAGGCAGGCTTGCTAAGCGCTCGATTTCCGGTTCCTGCCAGCTTGCGCTGGGTTTCGGATGTTCGTGCAGAAAGAACCTGCCATGGTTGTGTTGCTCCAAATAGCAGTCCACAGCTACTTTCAAGTGCATTCGACCTTCTTCTAAGATCTGCTGATTCTCTTCGTCCGTTCTTTTGTACTTGCTGAGATTCTGAAGTGGACTGAATGGCCCACACGGAGGTGATCCGACAAGGAATAGCGGTTTCTCCTTCTTCAGGAGCCTCCTCAACTCTCGCTGATCTGTGTCCTTTGACAGATCCCAATGGTCTCCTTTCGAGTTCTTGGAAACCATCAAATCAACTGCAAATCCAGGTCGAAGACCGAAAAGGTTAGCCTTCGAAGTGAAACGCTCGGGATTGTAGATCTCGGCCACGTCGCTTTTGCTGATTCCCATGGAGCACAGTAGTTGGCTGATCTCGTAGATCTCTTTCTTGGACTCCAGTTTATGAAACATGTTGGCTTCCAAAACGGAAACCATGTCCGATTGCCCAGATCCTTGACTCTGAGCTGCCGGTGCCTCACTTCCTTGAGCTGGAGGTGCTGGATCGTTAGATCCACGGGCTTCTTCTCTTTCAGCCACCTGAGCTTCTCGATGGCTCTCTTCACCTTCTCTCTTTTGTCCCCTCTTCTCTGGAGACTTCTGCCTCTTGGCTGCCCCTCCTGGGGAAGACCCTTCCTCCTCCAAAGGACGTCTCACTGGGTCCGGTCGGACCAAAGGTCCGACTCGACCCTCGGGTTGTCCAATGGCTGCGTCTGCCGCCATCTCGACAGCATCATCTGGGCCATCCCGCAGGACCAGCTCATTCGGCTCATCCGCGTCCGCTGACGCCTCGCCTTTCCTTTTCAAGACTCGAGCCCGTCCTTCCTCAGTCCGAAGAAGTCTCTGTTGCACCAGGGTTCGGCACTCGCTACTGTGAGCTCTTGCTGGCAATCCAACTTGAATCGCATTGCAACCTTCGCATCCAGCTGTGTAGTTTCCCTCCACGTCGGCTTTCTTGACATAGAGGTTCCTTGGCAGCGAATCTCGATCCGCTGGGACTGGCATCAGTCGTGCACCAGGCTCAACTGCAGGCATTGCAATCGCTATTGGTGCGTCCAAGTCTTCTGGCTTCTGTGGCCTCATTTTCCACGGAGTGCCGCACATCTGATCGAAATCTTCCGTCGACCAGCATTTCTCCTCCGGCATCCGTTTCACGCTGCCACCCTTGATCACACCATCCTTGGTCATGACCAGCGCGTCGCCATTGCGACCATGGGCCCCCATGAACATGCCTTCCCGCATCGTGTCATAGGGCCCTTCCAGATAGCTCTTCAGAGGCTTGAACCACACTCTTTCACCAAAAGTGACGGATGGTCGTTTCCACCGTCTGCCGCGAGAACGCTCATATGGCGTTCGCCCGTCCGTTCCCACTCTGAAGCGGGAGATCATGAAATCAGCATGACGACCGACCCATGCAAGAATCGGATGCCGATCTCTCACCTGAATCCCCAGCTTCTCCTCCAGGGAACTCTTCATAGCCTTGATCTGCCTTTTGGTTTCTCTAACGGCAACTTCACAAGCGCCGTTTGCCTGCGAGTCTCCTGTCTTTGACTCCTCCAAGACGATCTCAACCGTCTTGATGCCTTTCTTCACAGCCTCCTTGAGGGACTTGATCGAGTTCTCATTGTCTGACTTCAGCACCAGTCTCCTGTACCCTGACTCCTCAAGGCACTGGATGACGAAGTTCACCGCGTAGTTGTCTGCGCCCTTGGCGGGAACCACGCTGCACCACATGTAACCAGTGTACTCGTCTTTGACCTGCAACGAAGGCAATTCGCCTTCAGGCTCCACTTCCGGCCGATTCTTCGAATCCCTGCCCATCCAAAAGTAGTCCATTGAAACGATGGGCAAACCACGTTCATCTTTTCCTTGTTCAGGTTCGCTAGGATGCCGCTCATGCAGTCCACGAGCGCGCATACAGTGGCCACACCAGGTCCTATGGATGGTGTGCCCTGTTGCTTCATGCTCTTCGATTTCCTCCTTTGTTGGTGAAACCGGCGATCGAAGCAGCTTTGGCTTTCGACCGCTCTCCTCATCTTGCATTTCTTCTGGACTTACGGATTCACCTGCCTGGTGAAACCCTCGTCCATTGCTCCAAGATTCTTGCCAAAATGGCCTGACTCGTTGCCATTGACCGAGCCATTCAACCAAAGATCGAAGACAAAGATGCCCTTCTGCTCATAGAGTTGCGTAACTTGTTGGGCTTCCCCAGGGTGCTTCTTCACCAGGTCGTCATACGCAGCACGGAGTCCTTGAGCAATCTTGCCATTCTTTGGGATGATGACGCCCTTGCCATCCATGAGCATTACCACATTCTTCTTTGAGACTGCGGTGCCACTCGCCAGCATTCGATGGACATCAATCAACCGACCTTCAACACTTTTGCCAATGCCATTGTTGTCGTACCCTTTGACGACGACGCCTCCACTGTCGGAGAGAAGTTCACCAGAGGCCGTCTTATATGAGGCATTGTTCGGATTCTCATCGCCCTGAATCAATTCAGACCTTTCCAACTCGAGGGGCACTGCCGTGACTGCAGCGCCAGTGTCGAAGTTCACCACCAACTTCGTCCATTGCTCAGAACTTCCATGGCAACTGTTCCAACCGCCTTCAAAGGAATTGATCTCCTGCACCTTGCCAAAGGTCTTGACCACCACGTCGTTGCGTCTCTTGATGAATCCAATTTCACGATCAACCTCAGAGTGGCCCATATTGCATCGTGCACCTCGTCGACAAAACGATCGTTTGAAGTCACTGCACATCATGCCACCCTTGGGATGTTGCAGATAGAAAGCATCTTCATTCTTTGCCATCCTTCTGCGAGCTCTAGCAGTTTTGACCCGGAAGGATCTTGCCAACTTCTTGGACTCAGTCATTGTCCGTTGACGCTTCTTGTGGATGTCGACCCGTTGTCTGCTCATGACACGCTGTTCATCAGCGCGTGTCTCAGTCTTGAACTTGGCAACTTCATCTTGGGTCAACTTCCGGTATGACCTCGACGACTTGACAAAGACACCAGCGTCCTTCCGCTTGAGATGTCCTCGACGAACCAACTTTGGCTTTCCACTCAAAACTCGGGTCTTATCCTCCTCGACGACCACTGCCTCTGTCTCGATGCCTCCTAAAGTTTCGTCGTGGTACTCCTCATCCTTGACCTTCTTGCTGTCGAACTCCTTGTGCCAAGCTTCATTCAAACGTAGCTTCTCCTCAGCGCGTTCCTTGCCTCCAGATCGTCGATGAAGAGTTGCCTTGCGCCGCTTCTTCTCCTCGAACCAAGCCTTTGAGTGAGAGACGCCAGCCTTCAGCGCAGCATGATATCGAGCGTCATGCCAGCTTTGATCGTTCACTGTTGCCTCAGTGAGCTTGAAGCTTCCTTGAGCCTTCTTTTCCTTTGCCTTCTTGTCGTTCTCGCGGATCTTCTCTTTGAGCTCGTTCTTGCGAGCATCAATCTCTGCGATGCGTTTCTCAATCCGCTTGTACTCGTCCTCGTCGTCGCATTCTTCAAGTTCCTGGACTTTCTCGCGTTTCTCCGCGTCTGAGTTGGAAACTTCCAAGAGCTCCACGGTTCGATGCATCGCTTGGGTTGACGAAGTTCCGATGGGTCGAGACGGCGTCGGGAGCTCGGCCGATCCAGAGGATCGACTCGGCTCTTCCGTCTCTGGAGCCGACCGAAGACCAAAGGTCCGGTTCGCTCCTTCCATCAGCGACTTCGAAACCCTTTCGAGGAAGCCGATTCTAAGATCATTGCGATGATGTTCGACCAGCTTCAGAGACTCCGCATTGGATTCCCGGCTCAACGACAAGGGGTCGTGCTTGTCTCTCAACTCCTTCTTCTCATCCTCTCTCAAACCATTGAAGTGGTCGATGGTGATGCCTTTGAACAGACAGATTGTCTTGTCCAGGACATAGTGGAACTTCTCAGGCTTGAGGATCTTGAGATAGTCACGAACTGACTTCTTCTCAGGCTTGTCCTTGGAGGATTCTTCAACTAGGCGTTCACGTTCCAAACCACAGACTCCACACTCGTGGTCATGGTGCTTCTCATTGGAGTTCCTCTGACACCTGAAGTGAAAGCAAACGTCACACGGCTCAGCGCAAGTCGAATCCTCGGACTTGACCATCACATACTTGTCACTTTCGGGACGAACAGTCACAAAAGTTGAAGAGCTGCTCGGTTCGGCATCCTCCTCCATCTTGACGTCGTCCTCGCTCCATTCCTCCAGCATGGCAATGCTGAGGAACCCAGTGTCCAAAGGTTCGGCTTGAGGCTCTTCTTCAAGGTTTCCAACACCCTTCGATTTTCCACCTGACTTCGCCTTGGCCTTGGGTTGCTGATTCTTGTTGGCAGCACCTCCACCGGCCGCCCAACAATCCTTCTTGAGGTGTCCGATCTTGTTGCAATTGTGGCAAACTCGGGTCTCTTTGGATCCACTACCGGACCCTTTGCCCTTGTTGTCGGTCTGTCCAGATCCTTTGCCGGACTTGCCTTTCGGAGAACCTTTCTTGCAATCTCCTTTGCCTTTCTTGCCTTTGCCCCTCTTGCCTCCTTTTGAGAAAGAACCCACGTCCATCGGATCACCACCAGAGGCTGAATGAGCACCAAATGCATCTCCAAGCTTCAGTCGGTGTCCAAGTCTCGTTTCCAAGAACATCACCAACTCCGCCCTGACGTCAGCGTAGTCGCTGTAGCGACTGCGATTCAGTTGTAGGTGTCGTTCTATCTCTACGGGGCATAATTGCTCAAGGATCGACACCTTGATCTCGGAATCCAACTGTTGCCGGGTGCCATCAGATCGTCTTCGCTGCTCGTATTGACGAACATTTTCTTCCCAAGTTTCCACTGCCGCCCACAGATGATCCAACTTCGTGCATTTCTGTGGTGACAGGATTGCCCGAAGCATTGCACCACGTCGTCCACCCGTGCTAGGATCGAAGCGTCGATTCAGTTTGCGCCACGCTTCACTTGCTGGTGGTTAGCTTTGTGCTTTTGTGCCTGCTATTTTTTTTTGATTATTTTGATCACCCACACATCTAATGCTTCTACTCCCTCACTACAGCCTCTTCATAAGTCGGAAGTTAGACTTCAGAAAGTCGGAAGTTAGAGTTAAGAAGTTAGACAAAAAAACAAATTCCCAGCACTTCCAAAAGTGACGGATTAAGATAAAGAAAGGTTTCTGTTTAACTAATTAAGGAATGTTTCCTTACAAAAAGGTTCCTTAAATAACACAACCTTCCTTATTTAAGGAAAAACGTTTAATTAAGTTTTTCTGTAATGAAGCAATGGCAATGTTTTCCCTTAATTAGGGAAACAACATGTCCTCAAGAAAAGGTTTTTAAGCGAGGTTTCCTTAAACAACGAGGGTTTCCTTAATTAACAGCTTTTGGAGCTCCTGGGACCTGGTCATTTTTGGGAGTGCCGGACGGTACCCAGCGGTGGCGGGTATCTGTTTGCTTCAAATGTTTCAACATTGATCAGAATTCATGATGTATTTTGGCCCAAAAACTTTCAAACGGTTTGAGCCTGTTCTGTGACAGAAAAGGTTTTCAACAAAAAATGCAACTCAAAAAAAATGTTACGCAACGCTTGTGTGTTTCTAACATGTTTTGAAAACAAAGTTGACATAGAAATTGTGGAGAACGTGTCATGCGTTTTTTTTTACATAAACGTACACTGATAGGCATCATATTCAGTGAAGAACTTGCTGGCATTTTTTTTGCTAGACTTGAAATGCATTTATCTTCTGAGAGAGGGGGGGGCAGGGCGTTCCCAAAAAGCAACGATATTTCTTCAATGGGAATTCCAGGATCCTAAAATGGATGTACTGTACCATATAAGGCCATATTTTGGAGGGATATCCCCTTACATAACCCTAATATTACCAAACCTTTTTAAGCCTTTGTTGTTGTAAAATGGTCAGGGCTGGCAAATTACACCCAACCCATGTGTTTTAATAGAAAAACACCGGCTTAAAATATTTTATTGCTGGTGTCAAAAAATTGCGCCCTATCAGTGTCATGAGACTACGACTACAACGACGACTACCACTACGCCTCAGCCTCAGTCAAATGATGCCTTAATGGTGTCATGATGATGCCTTTATGGTGTCAAAGAAGTGATGCCTTAATGGTGTCATAATGATGCCTTACTGGTGTCAAAAAAGTGATGCCTCAATGGTGTCACAATGATGCCTTTATGGTGTCAAAGAAGTGATGCCCTAGTGGTGTCACAACATTGATGCCTTAATGGCGTCAAAGAAGTGATGCCTTAATGGTGTCACAAAATTGATGCCTTAATGGTGTCAAAAAAGTGATGCCTTAATGGTGTCACAACATTGATGCCATGATGGTGTCATGATGATGCTGTGACAGTGTCATGCCACAGTGAAGATTAAGATACCCACCAAGTCCAGAGTCTGGACCTCAGCATCGTTTAGTTTTTGGGTCATGTTTTTTTGGGTTCAAAGTAGTCAGAAAGGTTCAAAGGTAACAAACACCAGAAAGAACCATCCAAAGTCTTCAAGAATAATTTTGTCTCATAGTCTTGGTCCCCATCTAAAACTATCCATACTATACTGATTGGTTAGTGACAGTGAAGTGCCACACCCCACAAAACATGTTTGCCCCTGGATGAAACAGACCCCCATGGCATCTTACCGTTTTGTTTTTGGCACCATCGCGGCGCCAGTAAAAGACACCATTACGGCATCTTATCAATTTCATGGCACCATCACGGCGCCAGTAAAAGACACCATCACGGCATCTTATCAATTTCATGGCACCATCACGGCACCAATAAAAGACACCATCACGGCATCTTCTCAGTTTCATGGCACCATCACGGCACCACAAGAAACCAGGTTTATAACCCCCATTAATAATAGATGGTATCAGTGAAGGCGCCGTGATGGTGCCTAAAATTGATGCCGAGATGGTGTCAGTGAAGGTGCTGGTGCTCAATGTTGCCCATAGCCAGGGCCTCAATCGCAGGGATGATGTCAGGATGAGGGCATTTCCACAAACGATCATGTATTGATATAATTTTTGATGGAAAGATCAAGACAATATATTTCCAGATTTTTTGGAACCTTAAAGTAAACAAATATACCGTATTATCAGGGGGGTCAATTCAGCTTACAAGAGTGTTTCAGTGCACACATCTCCATTCATCCATCCACCAAGATGACATCCGAAATCCATGTCATATTTTTTGCATTTTTCACAAACACCATCGCAGCATCATTAAATGGGACGCCATCACAGCGTCCTCAGCAACTAGGACACCATCACGGCATCCTCATTAAATGAGACACCATCACGGCATCTTCATTAGATAGGACACCATCGCGGCATCCTCATTACATGAGACACAATAGATAGTTATCTAGGAGAAACAATAGTGAACAAATATATTTATATTATATATATAGTTTCAATGGATTAGGACTTATTTACATGCCAGTATAAGACACCATCACGGCATCTTGCTTGAGGCCCGGATTCCTGCCTGAACTTGGTCACCAAGTTGTGTTCCTTGGCCTTGGCCGGATGCAGCATGGTGCCAGGAAACCCATGGGCCAGATCATGTCTGGCGTAAATGTGTGTTTAGGTGATGAAACATGCAAGAACATGTATGACTCCATTCCACCCAACCGCTTGCTGTTTTTTTTTGCCACCGAGCAATCCGATGGGAGCATGCTGGGGATGAAAGATGTTGACGAAAACCAAGTGGGTATGGCTCAAAATATTGAATCTGACACATCCATTCCCTAGGACATTCAATCTTTTTGATGATGATTGCAAACTATGACATTTCAAACTGCTAAACATCAATCTCCCCAGACTAGACTTGTCAAGCAGGTTTGAACCGGAACGTGTTGGAACTCAATCAATTGTAAAACTGGCTTTATTTCGTTATGATGCCGTGTCAACAAATGGAATTAAGTACATAGGATGCTTTGCTCATATTTTTCCTTAAATTTCAAACCTGCTTGACATAAAAACTGGTACACGCTGCTCGGCCACCATCAGATGTTGCAAAATGTTGCAAACAAAAAAATAGAATCTTCCAGAAGTGACAAGGAATATATTGGAGGATAACATGAACAAGCAATGAGTTAATTTCAGCTCAAACTGTTTGCAACACCTGATGGCAGCTACAGCTCCTGTGCGCTGGCTACAGCTTCTGTGCGTTGCCTGCCATGATCTGCCATGATGTCCTATGATGGGGTGTTTTTTGAAAAGTGTGTGTGTGTGTGCGTGCGTGTGTGTGTGTGTGTCTGCGTGTGGTGCCTTTTTGTTTGTAGATCAAGGCGGGCCTACCGGCGGGCAAGGCCGTCGTACTTTCTCTGCAGGCGACGCCGATCCACCTCTTCTTGGGTCAGAAGATCTTTGAGTGCCTGGATTCAGGAATGCAGGAATTAAACACAATAATAGTTCGCACATTGGCTATGGATCAGATTGATCAGCCCCAAAACGGATGGTTGCCTACTCAAACATACTCAAACTGATTTTGATCCAAACCCATGTAACAACCAGGCCTCTATGCGGCGCTTGAGCACCCGTATCTCCTCTCCTTTCGTCGCCCCCTCCTTCTCAAGCTGCTCAACGGCAGCTTCCTGTCGCTTCAGCCGCGCCAAGAGGTCCTTTGCGGCTGAACGAAGGGCCGCGTTCTCCCTCATCAGCTCCTGGCATCTCAGAAAGTTGTAAACATCATCACGGCATCTGATATTACAAAAAAACTAGACACCATCACGGCATCTACTGTATTTAAGAAAAAACTAGACACCATCACGGCATCTATTTAAGAAAAAAACTAGACACCATCACGGCATCTATTACAAAAAACTAGACACCATCACGGCATCTTTAAAAAAGAGATCTAGACACCATCACGGCATCTATAAGACACCATCACGGCGTCTCAGTCAAGTTTGTAGACACCATCACGGCGTCTCAAGTTTGTAGACAACATCACGGCGTCTCAAGGTTTTAGATGGCTATACCCCCCCTCCGCAACAGTCCTGTCGCTTTTGCATCATGTCACTCCACTTTTCTCTTTCTTTCCTTTCTTTGTACTTCCGCTTGGCGTTTTGTCCGCACTTGGCCCTGCGCCCTTTGCCGCCTTTTCCTTTTCCTCTCGCCTTTGCCCCGGCGCTTTTGCCTTTCTCTCCTTCTTTCTCTTCATCATATGAATCATCTTCCTGGTCCTCTTCCGCCTCTTCGGCTTTTTCCTCTTCCTCCTTTTTCTCCTCTTTCGGTGGAAGTTCCCGAAGAAACTTGTCCAGGAGCTTCTTCAGCTCCGGATCGAAGTCTTCATCAGAAGACTGGGGCTGGTGTGGCGGCTGGGCCTGCGGTTGGGCCTGCGGCCGGGAGGGCTGGGAGGGCTGGGAGGCCTGGGAGGCGGGCTTGGGCAGCTCCTGGAATCGCTGCACCAGCTTTTCCAGCTCAGGCCCAGCAGTCTTAGGCCGCTGCATCAGCCGCGGATCTGGGGGCTGGTGCTGGTCGTGGTGCTGCTGCTGCTGTTGCACCGGTGGCTGCTGCTGTTGCACCGGTGGCTGCTGCTGTTGCACCGGTGGCTGCTGCTGCATCGGTGGCGGGGCCATCATCGGCTGCTTTTGCATCTGCATCAGCGGCGGGGCCATCATCGGCTGCTGTTGCATCTGCATCGGTGGCCGGGCCATCATCGGCTGCTGTTGCATCTGCATCAGTGGCGGGGCCTGCTGCTGCTGCTGCTGCTGCTGCATCATCATCAGCTGTTGCTGCTGCATCATCTGTAGCTGCTGCTGCTGCTGGGGCATCGCGGCTGGCATCGCGGCTGGCCGGATTGGCCATGGGCCTGGGGGCTGCTGCTGCTCGTGGTGCTGCGGCTGCTGTGGTGGTCGTGATGCTCGGGCTGGGCGCGGTGGCATCACTGGCTTCTGCTGCTGCTGCATCGGTGCAGCCTGCTGCTTCTGCTGCTGCTGTGGC